GTGGGGCACTGTGGGCACTGTTTTCCTGGTGCTTGAGGGCTGGGGATTTTGTCTTGTTTTTTGTTTTTATTTAGCATATTTAGAATAGCCTTAGAGCAGCAGGTCTGAATGAAAGCTGTAGGCTGAATACATGGTGTGGCACAGTGGTGAGGCAGCAAACATCCCCCTGTCCTCATACCCTGCTTCTGGGTGTCCATCTGCACCTTTTTGAGCCACACCTCTGGCTCAGGCAATTGAACTCTTCTGCTGAACCAAATCTTGTCCATCTTTCCTGAAATTCAGGTGCTCAGTGATGGCCAGTGTCCACCAAATGGCAGCTCCCCTTCCTAAGGGGAAAAAAACCCAAATCAATCTGAATCACAGAACTTCAGTTTCTTCATGTTAAAACCCTACTCTACAGCCTATTGCTCCTCTCTCAATTGTTCATGCTTTCTTCTGAGATGAAGAGATAGTCTGTCCTAGTGGCCTCTTTTTCACTTGGCAAAGGCAAGGTAGGCTCAGGCTTTTCCTGAACCTCTTACAGCCCAAAAATGTTGTGTACAAGCTCCCTTTGTACACAGAAAAGCCACGAGACATCCCACAGTCCAAAGTATTTTACATCTCCCATGGGGGGCATTGCTCAGAAGACTTAAAGAAAGTCTTCTCTGCTCATTTTTGCAGAGACTGGTTATCCTGCAAGGGACTTCTTTTTCCCATAGTTTATTATATTTGTCATTACATGTTCTAGAGTTCATTTTTCAGGACTCCTTACAGTGGATCTCTTTTAATCTCCCAGCATGGCTGATGCCTTTGCATAGTTTTCGCAGTTCTCTTTCATCTCAGCTGTCCTCCTGCCTGGATCCAGTCCCTTTGGCAGTCAGCTGCTGTCCCATTTTGCTCACACCTGGGCCATGGAGCAGGCGAAGGGTAACATGTGAACAGGGTCTGGTGTGGCAGTCAGCGTGACCATTCCTGCCACTATCAGAGGTTCCCTTCCCATGGGAAAGGAACCTGCCCACCAAACCCATATCCTTTTGCTGGCTACCACAGAGATCTGCTGTTTCTTCCAGAAACCATCCCCCACTGGTGCTATTTTACTACTGAATCAACATTTATTCAGCAGAAGCTGTAGTTAAGTAGTTAAATTATCATTTCCAGCACTTACAGAGAGGTACTTACTGTCCTATCCAACCTCCTCATACTCTGTAGTAGCTGGGTGACCAAGGGGAATTTTGTTACCTTGGTTTTCTGGTTTTGATTTTGTTTGCTCATAGCCATACAGGAAAGCCACATTGTGGCCAGCTCAGGAAACTCAAGCTCATATGGGCTATGACAACAATCAGATGAGATATGGCCATCTACACAGGAATAATCCTCTAAAAACCCTCCATTACAGTGTTACTGAAAAAGTTACATTTCTTTAAAAAGGAGTCTCTGCAGCAGTGGGGGAAGATGTTGGAAAACTCTTTTAACTTTAGCACAATGGTGTTTGATCCCTGTATCTGTACTTAATGCTTGTTTTTGTACTGTATAGTGCTTAGTATAAATGCCAGAGATGAATGTGGCTTTGTATTAACTCCCTATATCTGTGACTAATAAGTCCTCTGCCAGTTAGAGCTTCCTTATTTACCTATATCAGCAATTAATATGTACTGGCAGATGACTTAGTTTTGAAAACAAAGACACTGTGCCAAAGCAAGAAAAGTACATCATGACCTGACCACATGTTTGAGATACTCTTAAGGAGAAAAGATTCATTAGATCTGAAACAATGAAATTTAGGGAATGGGATGTTCCCAAACAACCACCAAAGACCCTCAAGAGACCTCTACTCGTATCCAAATAACTCCACAGATATAATTAGCATCTACGGATGTATTCGGGAAATGTAATTAATATGTAATAGAAATGTAGAGAATATGTATTGGTTTCATGAATATGACCTGGTCCATTAAGCTGCTGGGTGTGCACGTTAGGTGGAGTGATCCCCATGCACACAGTAGTCTCCAAGTGGACTTGGTCTCCCAACACCTCTCCTTCCACGCTGAGGGATTCAATGATGAAATCACTGCTGCTTGGTTCAGCCCTCCTCCACACCAGGTACCCACACACCCTGTGGCAGTGCTCTGTTGCCTCACTTCATTTCTCTCTTGTCTGTCAAATTAGAAAGAAAAATGTGCAGTGTAGAATTCCCACCATCCTCCATCTGCTTTCTAATAATGTATTTTTGTTTTGATTTATCTGGTTAACACTGGCTTTGTCTTGCCCTGCTTTATTATAGCACATTGATGTGCCTGGAAATCAGCAGCACTGAAAATAATGTTCAGGAAAGTAAGAGAGTTGAAATTAAGTAATCATTGTCCCCATAATTCTTAAATGAAATTGATTTTTTTCCCTTGAAATCTTTTGCTTGTTAACAGCAATATGCAATTATTTCATCTAATTTCCAGTTAATATGAAACTCTCTGGGACCTGCATTGTCCATGTTCCTGAGTTTTCACAGAGTTAACAAAACGTGGTTGCACCAGGCTTCCATTGTGAGTGGTGTCAGAGATGGCTGCGGGCTTTGTTGGGCACTGGCTCTGCGCGCGCATACGTGACTGTCTCAGACACCTCACACAATGGCATAAAAAGGCTCTCATCCTGTCAGCAACACCAAATCTTTGGGGGATTCTACCCTTGAAGCTGGAGAAGAAACCACATTGTATCTTGAGACACCAAGGATATAGACGAGAATGTTCTTTCTCCCTTGAGGGTGAGAACACTTTTTTAAAATATGCCAAAATACATGTTGGACACCACCTCTGGGGGTGAGTTGGAATTTTATTGTAAGAAATACTCTCTGCCTGAAGGTCCTCAGAGATGTCTGCTTCAGTAGAAGCTGTCCAAGATACAAGACAGGTATATGAACAAGTCTGTCCATTGCTAAAGGTGCCTGGGGTCCTATCTCCAACCAACCTGAACTGAATGGACACACTGGTAGAGAATTCAAAGGCCTTCTCAGTACTGTGCTGACATTAGGACCAAAGACTACTCTTCCTCCTGTTCTCTTTCAAACTTGTCTTTTCTTACTGTGTTTTACAACTTTCACCTTTAATCCCTGTTGGTCACTGATACACAGCCAGAATTCATCAGAGGAAAAAAAAAAAAAAAAAGAACTAAAAAAGCTTTCTTTCTTAATAGAAATGAGATTATTAATCTCCTTGTACTTATTCTTTTGATTACCACACTAGAGTAGTTATATACTAATGTGGATGTCACATATGGGGCTGGAGAAAAGACAAACAGAAAATATTTTAAGATATAATGAGGAGGGAAGATTTCTGGCATTAGTTTTTTTCCAGAGGTACTGAGGCTGATGATTTTGCAATGATGGTGAGTCCCTTCATTTATCTTAGTGACAGAGCTTTATCCTGAGCTGAAAAGCTCACTCTTTAATTCCGAGTATTTAAAAAAATGTTAATTAAAGACTAGAAATGCAAATACTACACATATTGCCTTGTATAATGCATGCTGAAAGCAGAAATAGCCTTCATGACTGGAAGTAATCTTCATTACTTATTCAGCTAATATACTAAGAAATAAAATAATTTTTCACATTTTAAACTGGTAAAGCATTTCCACGTGTTTTGGCACAAATGAAATGTCAGCAGTTTAAATTACACGGGTGACAAGGATGTTCCTATTCCTTTGCCTAAAAGGACAGAGGTTTCATGTTTTATGAACCAGAATTTTAGTATAAAAACAAAATAGAGGAAGTACTTACAAGTACCTAGGCATATTGGTATATGACACAATCCACTAATGCTTTGAACACTTTCCTCTTCTGTGACTGTGAACCGGGAACAATTATTTCAATAAATAAATCAACAAATACATAAGGAAAGGAAGCAGATGCTAATAACTCCAACTCTTCTTGTACTAAGCAGAAGACCCATCCTTGAGGAGTTCTGAGAGAAACCAAAGCAGCCTGCTCCTGCTTGGGGAAAGACCTAGCCACCAAAACAAATTTTTTTCTTTTTTTTTTAATATACGAACTGAAACCCCAGGAGCAGGTATAACTTAAAGAAGAAGCTGGTTTAATGCTAGGTTTTGCTCTTTCCAGATATCTCAAGTCCAACCTACTGCCTCTCCTGCTTGGCACCCATGAGCTTTGCCTTCCAAAGCTTTCATATCCCGCACAACTGCAGGCACCCAGTGACAGAGGGACACATTTTCAGTATCTGCACTTCTGTCAAACTCCCAGTAATTTGGGCCAAGTAAAGATTTAAACCTGGGGAACAATTCTAGGAAGCTTTTATCTGTCATGTCAGGAAGGTAAACAGCAGCTTTGCTGCTGCCTTGACATTGTCCTCTGCTCCAAGGTAAGGTGGCAGCCAGAAGTGCCACATGCCACCTCTCCAGGAAATGCCACATTTCAGAGAAAGCAGAACTCAAATCATGTTTACACCTCATTCACACTCATTGCTGGGATTTGAAAAAGTAGTTGAGTTAAGAAATCAAAGTTGAGCTTGATCCTCTCATTTTCTCCCTCTATTTGCTTTTTGTGAACATCTGCAGAAATTGCTCTGCTCAGAGGTGTTTCCAGGACTGGCACTGACACTGGTTTGCCCAGGAAAAATCATGCTTCATGACAGGATCAGCAGAAACTGGGCACTCATGCTGTAACTTTTCCTAGCTATGACTAACAAGAGGGCTACTCTATAGCTCCTTGCCAGTAGCCACCTCTCACATCCTCCTGCCAGCAACAGAGGAAATGGTTGCTGGTGTCCTTGAGGGATTTTTCCAAGAACTCTGTTACCTTCAGAGATTTTCTTCTTCCATTTCACACATCAAGCAAAACAAAATCAACCACAAATAAAGGAAGGGGGGGTGGTGGAGGGGGGAGAAGTACAGTGGAGATAGAAAAACATGTCATGAAACAATCAGTAGAAGTGCTGCAATACCTCACCATACCTGAGACATAATACAGAGTTAACTGCATCCTTCCCTACTCAAATTATGCACTTGCAAATGTGTCATGCGTGACTGATGTGTCAGTAGCTTTATTCCATAAACATAAACAGTTCTTGGGTGAGGAAACAATTTTCCAGATATATGTATTTTGAAACACCAACACACCAATTTCCTGAAAATAAAAACTCACCAGACTAAACCCTTTTAAATACAAAAACCTATTTTACACATCCACCATGCATGCAGCAATTGCTGGCCTAAAAGCTTTGAGCCAGGCTATGCAGGAAGTTGTAACAGGTGTCAGAAGCTCAGAAGGTCTCATCAAAAAGTAGATCTTAAACCTGCAACTTTTTAAACTCTGGTAGTTGTTCAAAGTGGACATGGTCACCCTTTTCTGTCCTGCTTCCCTGTGTCACAGACACAAACACCAGCCTGAGTTTCAAAGCACAAGCTCCATCACATGCTGGTCCCAAGCGCTGTGGCTCATGTGCTGAAGCTTTTGGGTTTCAACAGTTCAAATTCAATGCTTCCAAAACATCATTAACCTTTGGCATTATAATCCAGAGACTCGTTTCACCTGTGATGGCCAAACACCCTCTTACATCTCAGTAATTTAAACTCCCACTCCATTTACTCTGCCACATACTCAGTCCTGCACATAACGTGTATTATATAATGCAAAATATGAGTGCAATGAACTGAAGAGTGGATGTTTAAAAAATGGTAATTAAAATATTTAACTGCCGTTCCTATATGTAACAGACAAAATGGGAAAGTGGAACAGAAAAAACCCTCCTATATAATAAAAAAAGTCAGCAAAAATGAGTATGGGATAGGTTTTCCTGCCACTACTCATGCCCTTTTTTCTTCCATCTCACACACCACCTTCCTTGTGGGACTGCAAGGTTTATGGACCACCTCTCCTGTTTTCCCCACCTATTTACACAGCCTCTCATGGGACAGTCACAGATACTAAGAAAACAAATTTTGCTGCACTGTAGAGTCCCATTGTGACTACTTTAAAGGTAATTAATATTGCACACACTGAAATTATTTCACAACCATAACCTTTTGTTCAATAAAAACAAACTTGTAATTTATGCTTAGTTCCCTAATTACAAAAAGCTGTGTGATTCTCATTGACTGAACACAGTCACAGATAAAAAAGATGACTAACAAAGTAAATATATTTTGTGAAAATTCCATTAATTTTTCATTGTTTTTCACACTGAACTATATTTTCTATGTGATTTTCTTTTTGCTGCTAACTTTCTCAGTGCCTTAAGGCCACTATTCACCTGGGAATTGTTCAGTATTTGATCTGACAGCAAGGAGATGCAGAGCTGTTACATGTTGGCCCGACTGAAGAAGTTAAGAAAACCCCACCAGGACTGGAGTGCAGGGCTGTGTGTGGACAGAGGGGTGTAGTCCCCACACTGCATTTCTCAGGTAATCTCTGCCAGAGCTCACAGGGATGCCCTCAATAGCCAGGGTGCCACTTCACACCCTCTTAGGGAGGAAAGTGAGGGCAGATTTCTTAGACACATCGCCACCTGAAAGCTGTCTGCCTGTGTAGAACAGAACATCATATTTTGTCCTGCACAGCATATAATTCCTTGACATCAACCTTATTCTACTCCAGCTGCTGACAGTTCTGCCAAAGGAACAAAAATAAAAAAAAAAATTTGCCCTGAACTCCTAATTACTATAAAATTGCATATCTTTATTTTTTCTGTATTTCTCATGACCATTCAAATTTAGGAATAAAATGCATACATCGAACCACGATGCCGACTTGACTGCAATATCTCTGCAGTTTACAACGTTCAATCTGAACACGTGAGCCACTCAAAAAACACTATTGCTGATGATGGAATAGCTCCATCTTCTGGAATAAAAGTTAACAACCATCTTTACATTTCCAACATGGATCTATATGTAAAGATGTCTATTTCAAAACCCAACTTGGACATTTTTACTGATGGCAGATGAATGGAAGGAATTTACAACAATAATGTGGCTCCTGATAAAATTTAAGAAGCATTAATTATTTCTTCCTGGTGCAGAAAATGCCTAGAGATTGTTCAACATGCCAATACTAAAGACTGACCTTACTATTTAAGCTGTAATCTGATTCTGAGAACAAAAATTTAAAACTCTTGTTGGAGACAAAACACTCAACACATATACTTAACTTTCAGCTTCACATTAAAGGTTTGCAGTTTTACAAAAGTGTGTTTGTCATTAAACACAGTTATAATCCAGGAGCAACTGAAACCTCTGCTGAAGTCCCTGAAGTCTGAACTACAGAGAAGGGGCTGCAAGTGATCCTTACTGCTATTTGTCAAAACACTTAAAAGTTATGCTCAAATGAAATATTTCAAATTTCATTTAACACAGGTAATTAGTTATGATTTCCATATGTAAATTTAACTTACGTTCAAGTCAGGTGTTAAAAAAAGCTGGAGAGACCAGAACAAAACCATGACTACAGTTCCTGATTTCGTCCCTTTTATGTATCATAGGCATTGTATGGCTGCTGTTTGAAAAAAACAAGGGTTAATGAATGAAGTTTTTAAATATTCACTCACAGAGGGAAAAATTCATTGAAGCTGTTGATCTACTCACTGGTGCTGTGTTGTATTTCTTGATTTCACAGGAAGGGTAATGCCACCAGAAAGAAATGAAAAATTAAATATGTACATTTCCATCTCCATTAGAAATAGTGGTATATCTAAAAATAATACATACTCACAGACACACCAGAATAGCAGAAATTTAAATAAACTTGTTTAACAAAACAAAGCAACTGAAGCTTTATTTATCTATATAGAAAGATGCATCCTTATGTGCATTCTTTTAAGCTAAGGAAAATGAAAAAGCCATGCATCCCTTGCAAGAAATAAATCCGCAGGTGGTAATATATATACATAGAAAGTTTCTCCTTTAGTAGATGATTCATCTCAACAGATAATTAATGCCATTTAGGAGAGACTTAAGCTTATGAGTTCTTTATAGTAGAATTACTCTACTACATTTTTTTAGTACAACAGCAAAACCATTGCTTGAACCACCATACTGTTTGTATTAGTTAAATAAGAGCAAGTAACAAAATTTAAGCAGTTAAACATGTATCTGGAAATCAGACTACTTGAGTGAAGTACGAACAAGAATAGAGAGCAAATGAAAGGATTTTCTTCAAGAAAAATTATCTTTTAACTTGTTGCAACTTCACATCTCATATGGCTTTTGAATGGAGGCATTAGTTGAAAGAATCTTTCTATCCATAGTCAAGTATTGACTGCATTCAAATACAGCAATGAAAGGACATACAAATTAAAATTTAGCATACCATATTACTCCATGTAATGTGGCATATAACCCTTTCTATAAGGCTACAAAGGACAAATTTACATTAATATGAGGTACTGGCATTTATGATTGAAAAGTAAAGATGAGAAAAGAATAGCATTGTCATCAGACATCTTTTTTTTCCTTTTCCTTTTTTTTTTGAGGGGCTTTTGGTTTAAATTTTCCTTTTTACAAAATACATGTCTTGATGACCACATGCTCTAAGCTTATATTCACTTATTTTTACATATATATTTTATTTGTAGGGGCAATTGAGAGAGAGTCAGAAATAACGAAAGGACACTAAGGTTTTAATAAGGGCAACAAAAAAGTGTTTTCACCAGAATAGATTCACATTACAGTACACCAATATTGACAGCATTCTCTTTTGTCTATTTTTGGTACATAAGATGGAATCTCTCTACATAACCTTATAAGGCTTCAGTAACTAAAAAGTAAAAAACCTATTAGTTTACAATTCATTTAAAAATTCTGAAAGACACAGCAAGTTCTAAACTTTAGTAGTGCTACCCATACACAACCATCTGGTTTAAGAAGCCAATAAAAGAGCCTCCTCCAAGGGAGCTTCCAACAGCAGAGTTGTGCAACATGGATGTATCTTACTACAAGGGGAAAAAAAAATTACACATGGCATATTCTCATTCATATTTTGCAATGTAAAAAGTTACAAACATACCTAATCAAATAAATAATAAAAAAAGAATCTGAAATGTGTTTGTTATGTATCCTAAAACCACTACGCAGAATAATGGAGACTTTCACTCACAAACTATTTACATGGTAATACCCAGGGGTAAGGGTACACACTGCTACAAAACTCATAAAACAAAGGGTAAACTTGAAATGTTTTCCATAGTAAAGGTCTAGCAGCATGACTATATCTAATGCTGTTTGTTGTCTTGACAGTTTTTGGAAGTTTTGTTTTAATCTATGTCTTCATCCAGTTCATAATTGTCTTTATCATAAATATCTTTTACTAAAAGAACCCGTACGAGCATATTTTCCAAAGTGTTGCGGTCCAGTGAAGTGGCAGTGTACCAGATGGGGCTCTCCGCCGACACGGAGCACTCCGGCTGCAGATAGAACATGTCTGTCCTCTGGTTCAGATTCTGTGGGCTACCAGGAGGAAAACACAGGGGGTTAGAAATACAGCCTCACAGGACAAAACAGTACGTTAGCAGTTCCAAAATCTTGCACAATCAAAATTCTAACTGCACCCAGACAAGTTACCAAAAAAACCCCACACCAACCAAAACAAAAAGAATAATGTGGAGAAATGTGGTCTTATTGATAGAAGGAGCCATGCCTGGTCTGGCCCAAACCCAGCCAGTCCCACATCTGCAGAGTCCCAGATGCCTGGGACTCAGCAAACATGCAAGAGATCACAGACTCTTCAAAAACCTACAGATCCAGGTCTTGCTAAACCAGAAAGTACTTTCCATGATTTGCAAAGCAGGCCCAACACTAATTACATCAATTACACCAATAATTGTTCACAGAATTGTTGGCTGATGTGGCTACCTCTGAATGTAAAGCCTGGGGTTCCCTTAAAAAGCCAAGGATGGTAGTTCTGAGATGCACAGAAATGTAAGCAGCTAAAATCTCTCCTCCTCCCGTTTTATTTAAAAGGTTGCGTGTTCTAAATCTTAATCCCTTAATTCCTTAGCTGCTATATTATGACATGCAGCTCAGAAACATCCTTTAAGACACTAGAGAAGATTCCTTTAAGGAAATCCTAGCAGTTCATCCATTTAGGCAAGTTTCAGAAAATAATTTTCAATTTTGGATGAGCAAGTCATCACTCAAGCTCCCTCCTTCACAAATACTGCAGACTTCAGGAGTCAACTCTATTTCCCATTTCTTCCGTAAAATTCAGGATTTTTACCAGCTCGCCTTCCCACATTGGTTGGTAAGATTTCAGGTGTTGCTCTTCACCTGCTGGGGTGATTGTCAGATTGTTTTGCTCTCACGTAAATCAGATCAAGAGTCAGATAAGAAGTAAAATATGGTTGCTTAAAATAGTCTAATAATTTAAATATTTTAATGTCCTCCCTACTTGCTTGAAACAACAGTATTTTTATAGGAACAAGCAATCACAGAACCACATAATCAATTAGGTTGAATAAGACTTCTGGGATCATCGAGTCTGATCTGTGGCCCAGCACCTTCATGTCAACCAGACCATGGCACTGAGTGCCACATCTAGTCTTTCCTTAAACACCTCAAGGGATGGTTACTCCACCACCTCCGTGAGGAGCTCATTCCAATGTCTAATTACCCTTTCTGTGGAGAAATTTCTCCCTAATGTCCAACCTAAACTTTCCACATGCAGTTTGAGACTATAATGAGACGATAATACAATGTTTCATAGCTGTGAATGAAAGCATCCCAAAATTTCAGCTACAGCTGTCCACTGGTTGCCAAATGTATTTCAAACAGCTGGCATTACCTAAAATTTTACCATAGTTTTTACGGTGTAAAATATTCAATTAAAATTATTTCAACAAAATTAAGAAACAGAATTGGGAGAAACAGTCTTGCTGTTTTAGTTAACAATGGTGCCCAACATCTGCAAGACAGCATGGCTTGAAACCACACCATAACTGGTGCTCCAAATGGATTTAAGGGCATTCTTTTCCCCAAAGTTGAGATGTTCGTACTAAAGAAAAAAAATTATGTGGTCTCTCCCCCAGTGACTGTGTAACTCAGTCCAAAAGTTCAACTTTGACTTTTTAATGACAATTCCTCTCCAAATCATGAAAGCAGAGAAAGTGAAGGCAAAATCCTCCTGCAATAACCAGGAACGACTGAGTTTTTGAAAAACAGGTGGTTGCATTAACAGACCACAAGCTCCTCTTTACTTGTTTCTCTCTATAACATCACATGCTTGTACTTCTGATACAGTGTGTGAGCTCCTTCTTCACCTTACAGACCACGATGCCGTTTCCTAACACACACCGAGTCTCATACTCGATTTGTCTTGTATATACCAGGTGATTTTATTTCTTTGGTATCACTTGCCCTCATTTCCCTTAGAGTTACACAGAACATTAAAATCAGTCACTTGGGTGGCTGTTACAGTTAAGGAAAAGTTCTTTCCAAGAAATTTTGTTTTCAAGCTTCCAAACCACCAAGCTAGTAAACTAATTTTTTTAAGAGTGGCCTCAGCTTTTTTTATAAAGTGTAATAAATTCTGCTTGCTTCCTTCCTTCCTGCACAATTAATTGTGGAGATTGGATGGAAACAAGCTAATTCTAAATATTGGGCTAATGCCAGTAGTTGTTCTCCTACTACAACATATTTTAAACATGCTTTCACACTGGGTACCTCAAAAGCATCTACATTTCAGATGCCTGATTGCTTATAATGAAGCAAATCCATTGTCTTAACCCAATTCCTAGTGAAGAGATGGAGACCTCACAAAAAAACCCATCAGTAGCAAAATCCACCAGATCCCTTGCTGGTTTAATTCTCTGCAGGGATACTTGGTATTCCCAGCTAAGAAAATTGAATTGCATTGTTATTCCCAGATGGAGCCGTTGACAATTAACAGTGAAGTACTCCACTGCTCCCACACTTTATGCACATCTTGTTCAGATACGTAAGTGGAGATTTCAATACTTTCATTTAGGTATTTTTCAGAAGATTTCAATCCATTCCCTTTGCTTGAGCACATTTCATGTTGCATCAAGACAGTTCCTTTCTGGACCTGTTTTACTCTAGATCCTGTCTGTATTACCCTGTATCACACTTACCTTTTAGATAGATAGCACTCAAACATTTTCACAGGGCATCTAGCTGGATCGGATGTGTTTTCAATTTGTTCAAATACTGGAACATCATCTTCATGTTTCCTCTTTCCAGTAGCAATTTTATCTTTAAGAAGAAAACCAAAAACATCTAAGCTATAACTTGAAGCTATTTTACATTTTTCAGTAGAATTCCCCATAAGCAGTGCACCAAATAGCACAAGGTGGTCACCACAACTGCGCAAATCTGCAAACTGGAAATGCCACCCACAGCCACAGCATTTCACATGGAGACCAGAGGGCTCAAGTTAACTCAGAGACCCCGCAGTCTCCATGGACCACACACTCCAATTAGAGTTCTGGGAGCTGAGAGCTGCTAGACTTTGTATGCAAAGGCAGAGCTCTGGCTCCTGGCCAGGTGCCCAGATGTCCCTCTGCAGTGCCATGTGGATGCTCCTGCAATACGAACTTTGAACTGCCATAGTACCTTCATTATCAGCTCTGCACAGGGAAGACACTTGATATCGAAGACAAGCTTTACTTTCCATTGTTAGAGGATTTTTCTTCCACTGTCTAAAAACAGTGCCAAAAGAAAGTCTTAAATGCTGCTCCACTGTTTTCAGACCAAAATATTTAGTATTAAAGTAGAAGAGTGTATTCAAAAGAGCAACAGGTGAATGTGATCCTAGCTGTTTAATCCTCCAAAGGTAATCTTCTTCAACTCGAGAGAATATTGATCCTTGGAAAAAAAGCATAGTAGAGAAAATACAATGTTTTCGCCTGTGCTGTGTCGATGTGAAAAAAAAAAAAAATCAAGTGTTTTTTTACTGTGAAATGCAACAAAATTATCATGAGAGAAGCTGCTGATAAACTTATTTATTTTCATGTCCACACTCCCCAAACCCACCTATTAAAGACACTTACTTAGACGGTCAATGGGAAATCTCAGTACAGGCAATTTCACAGAGAACACATTTCTGTTTAGTTACAACAGCATTTCTCACATGCAGCTCTCTCACGCTATTTCACAGAAATTAATGTTCAATGGAATAACCTTAATTCCATCACAAAAGGCATATTTTTGAGTTCATTTTATTCCGCTCAGGTTAAGGCCTCCAAACATTGCACCACCTTCTTTCCTATTACTAATAGATATCTCACTTGGAAAGCATTCCTGGACCATAACAGGATGCAGGAACGGTCCAACACAGAGGCTCTCTGGGCTGTACTGAGAGAAGCCAATATTGAGAAAAGAAAGGAAAGAGTCTGGCAAGGACAAGCCTTCACTCAAGTGAGGATTGTGAAAAAGATGGAAGAACAGCCGATTCTGCAGTTCAGCAACATGGTTCTGCTGGGAAAAATTTGCTTTCTCCATGAACTGATGATCCTTCTAAGCAGAAGACTCCCAGCAAAGAGTCCTCCTAATCCAGGTGAGAAATTCTAGAATACATCACTTGTTAGCCCTACCTACATATAGTGCAGTACCTGCCTGCCTGCCACCATCTAGGGGAAAAAATGGGTAAAAAAGTAAGTTCAGCTCAGGTACAGGTCAAAGCATTTTTTAACTTTCTCTCCTAAAGATGGATAGTCAATTTGAACAGGCAGTGGCAAAACCAACTTTTGTAGCATGGAGTAGCCAGAAACAAGACAAATAAAACCAAGTACAGTTTTAAATTAAATCTTAGAAGACATGTCTGTAATTCTTCATCAACTGCTATTGCAATTAATAACATATATATACAGATATATATGCATGCTTCAGAATACATAACTTTTAAGAGATGAAAAACATACATGACCAAAAAGAAAATTACCATCTGGAAGTATGCTTGGTTGCCAACTTCGAAGGATTTTATTTAATTCCTGTTCAAACGTCTGGTAGACTGGATCGATAAATATGTTGTCTTTCCGATTACTCCTATATAAATACTACAGAAAAGAGAGAGACACAGTATTTACAATTCCAGATTAGAACAACTCCTGTGCTACAGGGTTCTATTTTTTCGTAACTGCACAAGCATTGTACTGAAAAGCAGTATCTAAAAATAAAGCTATGCCACTTTTCCAATATCTAACAGGTAACAGTTGCTTCCAATATAATGGTATGTTTTAAATTTCTAACTGGATATGAATAATAGTTTAATTATAACTAACATTTTTCTCTACAATTTTCTGTGTGCAACATTGTATCAGTGAAGTCAGGGGAGTCACTGAAAAAAAACCCAAACCACAAACAACTAATTTATCTTTTCCTCCATCTAGGCCTTCAAAAAAAAAAATCAAAACCAATCCACATTTAGCAGGAGTCTGCCCTTTTAAATGTGAACCCCAGACAGTGACAAAACCATCTTCAATCGAAAGTGGGAAAAAAAAATCCATCTATATATTTGTGGTAATAATTTACAGCAATACAAGAAAGATGATAGGATGGTGCAAGGCACTGGCCTATTCTGCAATCTAATTATCTTACCACTCTTGACCTTACAGACAGAAATTTTTTTGAACCTTTACCAAGAATTAATGGCTGAGGACTACTATTTGACATTATCCTCTCTGGAGACATTTCTAAGAAAGGGCGTATTGCCTTCTTAAATTTTTCACTTCAAAATTATCTTTGCAAGAACATGTCTGTTAGTGAATACAATAAAAGTGACAGCAAAAAGGCATTTGCTTCTGGAAATGGCATCTATTTCTGTACCCATGCTTGAAATCACATAATCACAACATTTACAGGTGATCAGGGTTCAGTACATCCTGGCCTCCTTATCTTAGCATTTAATTTTATAATAAGGGCAAATGAATGAATACACTTCCTACAGGTTTTCAACAACATTTTCATTTAGATAACTATTTTATATGGTAAGTTTTAACTAATTCCTCAAAGCACAATATTCCCCCACATGTGCTTATTTCTACATACATCAGTTTTGATTTCATAAAGCAATTCTAAGCTAGATAATACAGCTTACTGTAAGCTTCATGGCGTTCACCCTTCCATCCCCTGGCACATTTTTCTACCACGTATTTTTCTCTGGTTTGCATTAAACACTCACACTGAATGCTGGCAGTGAAAATGAAGACTGAAAACTGGTTCAAAATCTATCCACACACAAGCCTGTGAGAACTCAGCTAAAAATACTTCTTCCTTTTTCAGAGACAGTGTTGACTAAACCCTGGCATCACCAGTAGAAGTCTGAAGCTCCCCAGAGCACCGCAGAATGTACAGAAGGATGACATTGTGCAGCCGGGCAAACCTACCTACCACCCAAACCTGCAAAACCTTCATTCCCAAACCACCTTGCTCTGCTGCTCTACAAACCCTACAGGGGCAGGATGAGCACAAGCCATTCCCACCTGAGATGAGTTCTACTGTAACTGCAGTGCATGGGAAGGAACTGGATGTGCCTCTGAACCCCACAGTGGAGGACAACAGGCTGAATCACTGTCCACAGTGATTTTGTTTGCCTGACCTTCAGACAAACATCTGCCAAACTCTATCAGCCTGCCCAAACAATCCCATTACCAGACATACAAAAAGCAAGGAAAAAAAAACCCAAACCAAATCCCAATAATCCCAATTAGGGACAAAGAATGAAGGCCATGATGGAACAAAGGAGCACTGCAGGCTAACAACTTCCTCTAGATGAACCCTCTCCACTTGATGCCTGCCTGACCATGCCTTTATTTCTAAGTCTGATATCCTTCAGGATCAGACTGATAACTTTAGAGTTTACTGAACCACTTCTGTCTGAAAGCAGAACAATTTCAACTGCAAGTGAACCTGAACAGAGAAACTGCACTATCTCACTCAGGGACCGGTTTCCTTGAACAGATTTTACAGTGCTTCCTTTAGGAAAAAGCCGTTTTACAAACTGAAAAAAGAAAACAACCAACTTGGGACTTGAAGACTCCTGGGCTCAAACCACACTCTATCCATGATGAAAAGCTCCAAACTGAGTGTGTATTCTAGTGCAGTAATGCTGCTGGAAGGAGAATGTACTTTTTTACTAGCCTACGGTTCCTACATTCTCTTCCTTTGAAGAGAAATTTACTCTAAGATAGTAAAATATTAATGATCTTTGGCCCAACAGTATCCTTAAATGGCATAATTTAATCTCGTCCAAGCCCCTTTCAAGTTCAACAAAGCCAATACCTTTTATGAAGTAGCAGACAATTTACTCTCTTTCAGGGTCAGGGCTGTCAGGTGGAAAGGACTAAGCAAATTGTAGAAGGCAATGGAGTTCTACTGTGCATTGTGACAACTGTATTGCATTTAGTGTACCACTACCTTGCTAAAACATGTTCCTTCAGAAGGGTGGTACACCCCCAAATATTTGCCATTCGCACACAGATGATGGCTGCAGCCCTTCACAGCTCATGTTTCTGTCCCTCACTTGCTGTCTTTCTGAAATGCAACCTCATCAGAACACAACACATCTTCCTACCAGTCTGGCCAACAAATCAGGGCTGTTCACTCTGCCTGAATTAAATACTGGGCATGAAGTACAAGCAGTAAAATTACAGTAAAATGTTCCAGCATTGTGTATATGTGTTAGGCCTCATGATAATTGTGGCTGCCACACAAACTGTGGTTCTGAAGAGCTGAAAAAAATACGTTTTATACACAACTAGCTTTCATGAATGACAAAATGGACAATGTCAAAGGTACAAAGAGAAAGATTAAAAAAATATTGTAGTTCCATTTATAAACACATACTTCCCTCTGTGTACTGTTTATCTGCTTAAGATGAGTATTTTCAATTTAACAGAAAGGTACAGAGAGACAGTGTATCATGCAAGTGCAGAAGCAGAAAGCTAGCTGAATTTGAAACACACCTTGTAGCAATATTGACTAAAAAGCCACTGACTAAAATCAGTGTTTGCTTCTCAAGTTTCAACAATGAGGCAAAGATAGCAACTCACTATTTTTGCATACTTGCAACAAAGGAAAATAACTATTTTATTACTTATTTTAAAAATATTTCAATTAAATCCTCTGCCTCAAGTATGGAACAGTTTAGGTAGAACTGCAAACCCTGTGAACAGCTTGTTTTCCACATCACACACATGTTCTATTGCCTTTTAACTTGAATGATATTTTATGGGCTCTCAGCTCTGAACACTGCTTATTTTGCCTGTGTTTTGCCTTATGTAGCAAAAATTAAGACAGCCCTCCCTGCTTAAAAGATCAGCTGTGGAACAGCTTCTCTAATTACCTAGTGATTGGTTATTGCCTTCACATCCATTACATCCAACCTGACTCCTTCCTATCGTACTGTGTGTAAGACAGCAATATAGCAGAGTTTCCTGCACTCTATCCTACCTGTCCACAGTCTGCAATACTCAGCAAATTAGACCCTCCCCAAAAGACACTTAATTTAGGTTGTTTCCTCTATATGCTAAGTAACTGAATTAATAAAAGGCTTAGAGATCATGCTTTGTTTCATTCTGTTTTTACATTGGACATATTTAGAAAACAAAATGAACACAGCATTTGAGAAGACTACGTAGCTTTTGACTGGGTTAATGACTTGCTTTAACCCAGCAATAAGCTTAAAATTATTACAATATACCAATTCGTGTTTGAGTTTTCAGTATGGGTCTGCAAACTCATTTCCTACATGGGCAGCTTTCTACAATGAAATTACACAGCAGCCTGACCACAGCCATGTATAAAGGGTAGCGCCTAGCCAATAAATCCATGTCATCTCCACTCTTCTACTGAAATGGGTTACAGTCAAGTCAGCAGCTCCATTTCCCATTTCTACAGCCTCTACTAACCTCCTGAATTCCAAGACACAGATAATAGATGCTGTCAGGTGCATAGTTCTCTCCATTAGGCCTTCGAATTTCATTGACAAAATGTGTCAACCCATAGTTTAACTCAGCTGAAGTATGTGATAATAGATCTTCCTTTAATTTCACAGACTTTACTGTAAAATAGAGAAGAAATGCTACATTATACAATAGAATTGTCACACAGTGAAGGTGGGATGGGGTACTTTTTGACTGGAAACTGGGAAACTGGCTTGATGTCCTCTCCATTGACCAATGAATGAGACTAAAATTTACTAAGCAGTTGAAATGTTAGGTCTGTATTAAAACAATCAAGGCTCCCACAGTAAAATCTAGTTAACCAAATGCAGTAACACCTGCTAACAAATGTACTGTCATGCACAGCTCAGGATGACACAGAGGCAGCCCAAGATGCTGAAGTGAAGCCACTGGTGTAGAGGGGCACCTTCAGGGGAAACAGCAGTTTCCAAAGACCCAAGAGCACAACACAAGGGTGCTGAGATGCATGTGAGAGCCAAAGAACAGCAGGAGTAGCAGCAATTCCCCTTTTTCCCCACAGTACAAATGTGTACAGAGAGGAGAGCTGCAGAAAGAGCAGCATGGCTCCAGGGGATCAAAGGCCACCTTGTGCCAGAGCTCCACAGCCATGTAATGCCAACCTCAGAGGAAGATCTCCTTACAGGACAAAGAGTAGGAGGGTGTCCCTCCGTTGCCATTTAGAAGCCCAGAAACAGTGTGAACTCTGAAGTGAGTTAGAGTATGAGGAAAAATAGGATGGAAACAAAAAATTAAAATGGTCACAGAAAATCAGAATAGCCAAGAAGGTGCTGTCCTAGCTTTCATGAGAAGTGTGAGACCCAGCATTTGAAACCAAACAAGAAAAACTTGGAAAAAAAAAATAGTTTGGCAACTCTGTGGTGAAATAACCTTAGTCATGCTGGAAACATTAAGGACGTGAGAAAAATTCTATCAAAAAATCCAGCTGAAAAATCACACAAGTATAGCAATTTTCCCAAGCAGGTCAGAAGCTGGACGCTAGATTTTTGGAAACACTTACTTGATTTCAGTTCCTCTAACTCTGGAAGCTCTTCCTCTAAATGCCGGGACTTTACCCAGTGCTTCCATGCGTTTACCCCATAGGCGTATTTGAATGGAAAGCTGCACTCGGAGTTCTCGGAGCTGTCGTCGTGTGCCTGGTACTCCGACACGGCTTTCCTCTTCACGCCCTGCCACGGGAACACAGTGGGTAAGGCCACCAGCACTCCCACCAGCAGGGACACAGAAGCTGGCACAGCCAGCTGCAGGCAAAGTGCACTCTGAGCCTCACTGCACCCACAGAACTTCATCGTGTTAATGCAAGGGGAGCTGAAGATGTGGCCACGCTGTGTCACAGCTCCACTCGTAGGCTCAAATGAACCCTTTGCCAATGCAAAAGGCAGCACTGGTTCCAGATTAAGGCATGCCCAGCAGTGGATATGTAATAATGTCCAGTGCATAACAGCAAGAACTTAAGACTCCAGATTTGATACTAGAAAGACCCATTTATTATTCGAAAGCTTTAGTAGAAGTTGGCTGTTTTTTTTAAAGCTGCAATATCTACTGCAGTTACTGGAACAACACCATTTCAGCTTTGTGCCAGACATAGGAAACTATTTCTTGGTAGTGTCCTTCTAATTAAAATACTATGGCTAATTTGTATCTAATGTTTAAACTAAGATATACTGAATTAAAATCTGGGAAAATTACAAGCAAACTAAAAAAAAATTTAAACTCTTTTATAATGGAAATGCTACGGCTCCCATTATAAACCTTAGTAATGCCAATGTTTTTCCATCTTACTATCAAATTAAACCAAGACACCTTTGTGCAAAGTAAAAGGTAAAATAGCATTGCTAAGAATACAGCAGGTATATACATTGGCACATTGGCACTTTCCATCAAATGTTCTGCCACTGTGAAGCAAAAACAGGATCAGAATTTACAAATCACGCTCCTATCAAATTTAACAGGAATCTGCAACAGACATACCACTGTAATAATTTTACTACTTGAAATGTATCAATTTATGTCATAAAGATATTAGGTATGAGTAGACAGTAATATGCTGTAAATAATTATGAGAACTTAAAAAAAAAAAGTTATTTTTTCCTACATACGCTTTTGTGCTTTTTTTGATATTTTTAATTGCATGAAAAAGTTACCTTCTTTTTGGGCCGAGGCCTTGGCTGCTCCTCATATTCTTCACCAAAAACAGGAGGTAACAAAAACTCATTTTCTGTATCAAGCTCTTCAGTTGCTGAAAACACATTAACATAAACTTATTTCTAAGTGTCTTTTAAATAACACTGCTTTGGAAAAAAAAAAACAATTAACTATATCAGTGTGCCTTAACATAAGGTGTCCATAAAGGCACACAAATAAATACAACCAAACATTAGATTTTGGCAAGAGGAAACAAACCTATTTTTGTATTCAAACTAAGACAAAGCTGTCAAACTATATTATCTGAAGTTGCTAAGGCAGAATTTCTTACTGTAGATTCTTACATAATGTTTTCTGCCTGGGCTGTTTTTGATATCATAAATTTTTAGGTATGGTGAGAATGAGCAGCTATGACTGGAAAAAATATAAATTAACTTAGTACATGCAGTTTTGTTGTATTTAGATTATCTATGCTTATGTTTTGTTACTTCTTGTAGTACATTACACTTGGTTAAAAACATTAAGAATCAGAAGGCAAGCTCCTTCAGTGAAACTGGTTTTAGTCTATATTTATACAAGTGGTGGAGGTCTAGCTCATGATGGATATTACAGTTAAGTTTGGTAAGCAGATGTATGGCAACAGCTCAAAAAAAATACAGTTTATTTAACATTTCAGGAGTAAGATTGAGGACTCTATTTCAAGCAATGTTGAGGAATGAGACAACATATGAATGGATTTAGTGTTACAAGTCCCACCTTTAGTTACTTAATTGAAGATGGTTCATCCCTCATTTAGTCATCAGAGAATGTTTTCACTCAAAATTGAATGCTCTTTGATACTCTGATTTCACCACCTTATTTCTTATGACAGTTTTCCAGCTGGTGCAGATGAAATAGCACTTACATGCAGGTTTCAGAACTCTGCCCCAGACTCAAAAGCAGTCCTTCTCCTGATACCACAAAGAATCTTATCTCAGAAACACTTCAGTGTAATCAATGCCTCCTACAGACTGCTGCTACTTACTCCAACTTGCTTAATTATTTTCTTCCATGGTTTTTCTTTCCCAAGTACCCAGTCTTAGTTAAAAAAAGAGGGTTAAAAACCTAGTATGCATCTGACTAGTAAACTTCTCAAGATTATGTCAGACTAACCCCCAGGCTTTCTCTTTAAATTAGGCATAGAACAAACTGGGCATCTACTGCAGGTATCCACAACACAGCCCAAAAGGAGCCTGTCAGCTCCTACAGAACCTGCCCAGCTGAGGCATGAGAGTCATGTGTCCAATAGAAGCTATTAACAGGAACAGTAACGACAGCCAGAAGCTTTCTTGGATTGACTGGGATATGGAGTAAGAAAAATACACTGTTCCCTGCATTCTGCAGAGTGGTAGAAATTGTACTAGATAGCATCAAGAGTTTCTTTCAAGAAAGGTCTTAAGCAGTGATTTTTTTTCCTCCTAAGTCAAGTAACTGCTTCAAATACAGATATGGACATTACCAAGATATAAAAAGTGGTGTGCAGCACGCCAACTTGCATGCCAATTTTTTAACAAACTTGAGTGGGAAGTTGACTCTTTAGTAATTTCTCTAAACCATGGAAATACCTGGTGATTGAAGAATGTATTCATTATGTTTTCCATGACACATGCCATCTGAGTCCTTGAGCCTTCAAAATAATTTTCCTAAATCCATGTTCAAAACAAATGATGCAGCCAAGTTCTTTGCGAATGGTTAACTTCCCCTTTTCTTGGCATTGTTTCAAATACTGTATTTAGAAAGATGGAAGAACTAATTCAGAAGTCCCCCATTTTACAAAGGCATGGCAAAATTTTACCTAACAGTCAAGTCAGGTGGATCCTGCAATCAATAAAGCTTCTCTGAAAGGATGATTAAACAAGGTGCAATGGCTGCCCACAGTGTCACAGTATTTATTAAAATCACAGAAGAATTACCTCTTGGAAAGTCTATTTCAATATCAAGGTCTGGCTCATATGGAACATCAGGCAAGTTTGTCCGTGACTCTGAGTTTAGGAGATTTGAGTCAACTATCACACCTGTTTAAAAGAAAAGGAAAAAAAGTCATTATTTTAACCAACACATGGATTAGCCAAATGGTGCAGATCTACAACTTTAGAAGCTGAGTTGTTCTAAAACTGATTGTTCTGCTCACTACCATCCTACTTTTTTTTTGTCCTTGGGATCTCAGATGTACTTCTCCAACCTGATTTTCTTTCAAACATAAAAGATACTTACCAGCCCATTGTTCTCCATGAAGATGTATTGTAAATGCAGGCAAACCCAATGGGAAGAAATGACGATGTCTGACTCAATTCAGAAGGCTGAATTATTTCTTTATTATAACTATGCTAAAATACATTAATATACTATATAAAAGGAGGATACTAAAACTACATACTGCTTTCTCTGACTCTTAACTCTAACACAACCCATGACCCTCTCTCAGGAGTCCAGACACAGGTGGATTGGATTGGATTGGTCATCAGGCCCAAACAATCCTCACCAGAATCCAATCAAGCATTCACTCCAGGTAAACAATTCACCAAACATATTCCACACAGGAAAAACAAGGAGCAGAAACAAAACTTGTTTTCTCTTTCATTTCTCTCTGTGCACCTCTATGAAAAATCCTGAGAGGGAGAGAAATGTGCCTGCCACAAAGGTGATTCAGCAAAGCACATGTATAGAAAATCAACTACCGGTGAACCTGGATCATATCAACCAATCCCAGAACTCAAACAATCTTGACAAAACCTACTGTCTATTTTCCTACCTGATCCTGTCACAATAGAACAGACTTTCAAGTCTGCCTTTGTAGGGTCTGTTTCTCAAATAAGGCATGCAGGCAGGGAGAAACGAAGCTGGAACTCTCTCCAACTTCTGGGAAACACTGATTGCTCCAAATTCAGTCCTCTGTAAGTGAGCAAGCTCTGATCCCATACATCTGCTCCTTTAGCTAGCTGTACTTCACAGAAGAGAGCAATAAACTGTCAACCTTGCAAGTGCTACCAGAAAAGTGCAGTTTTAGTAGAAGAATGGCAATAGATCAGTAAGCCTCCCAGGACTGCAGCTCCACTGGCCTCCTACATAACGAGGCACAAAGTCTAAGTTTATGTAATTTGTCAACAACCTTTCAGAAATCTGTTGAAAGAGCTTGGAAAGAAACCTTCAGAATTTCATCTGAGTAAAGGCAAATTTTCCTGGAAAGATACAGAAAAGACTTGAACAGAGCCAGGAAAGAAAAGCAAAGGGACATGGGCGCTGAGAAACTAAAACTACAAAGTATGTGAGACTTTTATAAATTTTTATTATGAGAATAGTATGTTGGTTGTTGCCAACTAGTGCTTACTCTAAATCATGGGCTTTTCAGTTTCCCATGTTTTGCCAGGGTGCACAAGAAGCTGAGAGGAAGCACGTCCAGAACAGGTGAGCTGAAGTGTCCAAAGGGGTATCCCACACCACACAATGCTCAGTATATAACTGGGGGAAGTTGGCTGGAAACCACCAATTGCTGCTCAGGAACAGGCTGGGCATGGGTCAGTGGGTGGAGAGCACCTGTATGCTCTATTAGTTTTCTTGTGTTTTATTCCTCTCTCCCCCCTCTTTTAATTGTATTTACTAGTATAGTTAGAATAATATTTTATTTTGTTTCAATTATAAACCAGTTCTTGACTCACAAGCTTTAGTTTTTTCCTCAAGTCTCTTACCCACCAGGTATGAGGTTGAGAAATAAAGCGGCTGTGTGGTATTTAGTTGCCATCTGACATTAAAGTACGATGCAACTTAATGTAAGACTGTTGTACTCAAACTTTGCTTAATAAAGAAAACCAAACCAAACCCTTCTTGCCACACACATCTCCCAGCACTCCAAACAGTCAATAACTCATCAGGAAACTCACTGGCCACATCAGAAGTTTCAGCTTTTCCAACATGTTCAGGTACCACCCCTGACAGGTTCAGTAGCTCAGCTTCCAGAGGATCTGAGGGTACTTTTCCCTTCAGCTCTTCTATTGCTGCAAGGATTTTCTCAGTGCTATCCAGAGTAGTGGGCAAAAAAACTGGAACTGGCACCTGTGCAGACAGGGAGGAAGAGATAATTAGAAAATAAAAAATGCCACAACAAAGCAATTAACAGCTAAAAAAAAAAAATCTATACTCTTCTTCTGAAAGACAGAGTTGATACAGATTAGGAACAAGCCACTCTAGTGTGAGCTAACAAAAAATGCTGACCGGTTAAAAACCCAACATAGAACTATGAACAGAAGGGATAGCAGGAAAGGACACAGAGGAAAAAAAAAAAAGAGACAAAATATAGCTGGTAAAAGAAAGAAGGATCTTTAGAACTCCAAACCTGTCTGATCACAATCTCAGATTAACAGTTTGGACAAATGAGCATCTTGTTTCAGTGGCTTGTTTTGTCCTGCTGTTTATCCTACTCTGCCATCCTTTCCCAACATGTTTTCAGCTTCCTTATTACAAGAACAAACCTTGTTGTTAAAGGCTTATTCAGCATATTCAGCAAAAGCAGAAGTTTCACTCAGAACTGCTCCTAAAACGCTCAGTGGCACAAGATTTTCCCATTGGAAGCAGGCAGAGAGGTCCAAAAGAACAATCAAGGAATCAAGTGCCACTGTCAGATTCTAATGCTTTTTCAATAAACAGCCCTGCAGCACCCTGCAATCCTTTAGATGGCCAAGAAGGAGGACAACCAGCCACACAAGGTGGTCCCACACATGCATGTGAAGGGATGCAATTTTAAAATGAAGCTGAAGTCTCACTTACAGGAACAGGAACCGTGGTAGGAATGGGAACATTTTGACTATACAAGTTTATAGGCACCGGAACGTAGACAGGTACAGGAATAGGCACTGGGATATACTCTTTTTTCCACTCATCTTCTATTAAGAGAAAAAGGAAAAAGGCAAATAATGCCAGATATTTAAATATATTTTGCACCTGCCATTTAGTGGAAAAAAATCAGAATATTTGCAATATATTAAAAGACAGTAATAGTTAAGTAAAAGCTACAATGAGGAAATCAGTTCTAGCACAGTTCAGGAGTTACCTGTCTGACAAGATTTTGTCTGCATATGAGGTTTACAGTACGTGGCTTTTGTCATTGTCAAAGGCTTGCAAAGAACTGCCTTGTTCTTCATTTCTCTGTTAGGTGTTGGAGAAGGTGGTGGAGCTGAGCCCTGCAGACAAGCAAATAAGAGAAGGTGCTGTTGCACCACACTGATTCCAACACAAAGTTCTTGACTAAATGTATCAGCTGATATTTTTCATAAAGGAGATACTGAAGAGGAAGCTCACAGAAGCACAACAAAACAGCACCAACTACTTTTCTAAAATTGCAAGCTATTCTGTGTTCTTAGTATTGAGCTGCCACTGCCAGAAGCATAACAGGAGGTCTAACATTTATAACATTTATGGCTCATTTTCCTTTTTTTTTTTTTTTATGTGTTTGTTTAAATGAAAGCACCATTTAAGCAATTTTATAACATAGAAAATAATTTTAGCTGTAAAAAAGGTTCATTATAAGCAGTATGAACAAACTTCAGGCTCAAGATCTAACCTTCTTGAATTATGCCATATTCCAAAGATGACTTTTATTTTAAAAAAAAAAAAGTTTTTTTTGATTAAAATTTTTTTAACCCTTTTTTTTTTACTTAAGTTTTGACTTTGGGGTTCCCCTTGTTGGTTTTGCACCGTTGAAACCACCTTGGGACATCCCAGAATGCTCAAACTGCATCCTTATGGTCAAGAGGTAAAAAACCCTCTTTTTCCATACATGGCTTTTGTATCCTAGTACCTCTTTTAGAACCTGATTTGAGAAACAAACTCTCAGTTTCATTTGGTCATATATAGGAAGACTAGCCCCATATGTCCTTTTAGATAGGGAAAGAAAGCCCAGTCCCAAGATCAGCAATATGCTCTACCATAAAATATACTAAAAAAAAAATGTATCACACATAGCTTTGGCACGATCTTTAAATGACTGAATTAACATCATTAAACATAAAATACTAAAAGTTTTCCATATGACAGCTTAGCTTGTCTGAAGTCTCTATTTACCTAAGCAATTTTCTGTTTTTCATAAATATATTTATATTGTCATTAAAAACTTCAACTTTTTCACTTAAATCTAAGGTTTATCTTTGATGCCTATTTGCATTTAAAATGCAATTCTCTCAGACTTCCATGCGACAAACAAATCAAAACAAAACTAAGTTTCAAACAAAATACACAAACCTAACTGAAACAGTAGTATATTTGATGAGCTGAGAAAAACTAACTCAGAATGATGAAGGCTGCTTCTCCACTGATGATCCCCAGCCTTCCAGACAGCCATCCTGCAAAAAGCTCTGCTTCCCTACTCTGCAGCAAAGTCAATCAGACCTTGAACACCTAGAGAATTCTTCTCTTGGGAAAAATAAAATTTAAGAACTAAATATTTATTTTCAGCTTTTTAAAGCTGAGCTTCCACTTTAATATTCCAACTGGACAGTGAAATTCTCTTCCTTTTCTATAGTCAATAAATAAAACTAATCAGTCTAAACAAGTGAATAAGATACACAGTGTGATCAACTTTTAAGCAACATTTACATGACTACAGATGTAAAACACATAGTTGATGATTTAGTTTCCCAGAAGACATTGAAAAGAAAGTATGAATATTTGAAATTTTTATTTCACCTACAGATGTTAAAGAGACTAAAAAGCTTCATAAATTTAGCTTAGGATCATTCAAAGATACTAATTTTTGGTTTTTAATAGCATCCCTCTAATTCACCAGGATTAAGTACATTTTAAGTACATCTAATATTTATATATATATAGTGAGAGAGAGAGACAGAGAGAGAAAGAGACAGGGAGAGAGAGTTGGATATAAGACTGTGTTAAACAATATGTACTTACTGTCATTTTTGTCCGGGGGGTTTGACAGCCCTGATCTAAAAGTACAAGAAACAAATTTAGAATTTTTTTTTCCTTTCTCAAAATCAAAGTAAATTTCAGTAAGCAACTCAACACCTGTCACCAATATAACAGTAAATCAAGAGAACTCATTAGTACCATATTGCAGGTGAGAACTGCACACAAGATGTTTCCTTCATAGACATCTCCCTACTGATCTCTCTCAATATTCCAGTATTGAGCTTTACAAAAACACAAATGATAAATCAATGCTATAGCCAGATGTGAATACAGCCTCTTTCAGAAAAGTGAACACCAAAATGTTCAAGTATGAGAACAGCTTTAAAAAGAAGCTGAGTTGCTATAATTGCATTAATTTGGAACTTTGCCTGACTTGACATTTAAACCACACAAATGTATTCAGTGACCAACAGCAAATTTAAAAAGTATCTATTGCCAACAGAAGGCAAAAAAAGTGCAATGTATTAATGTATTCCTCTTATCTAGGTACTTTCATTGTATTCGCATTCCCATTTCGCTTATTTTCCTTTAATGCCATTTCATGAATTTTTTTTTCATTCCTAGTGCACATGTTCTCTGTGACCAAAAGGCACTTTAAATGTTTCTACAGAGCGAGTAATGACAAACTGAAGCACAACAAAAGAGGAAAACATTCTCTGTTCCCACGATGATACAGCACTAATATTACACTTAACCCAGAACAGCTCAATGCAGCCTCTGATGATAACACAGAAAAGGAGAACACCTAATGCAGTTTATTATGACAAATAAATAATTCATGCAGCTTTCAATTTTTCATTTAAAGGAAGCATCTGGCCCTGAAGCAGCACCTACCATAGTGCAGGTTCTCAGGTCCTTTCTGGGTGGCCAGATTGGGTTCGTTCTGCTGACAGTAGAAGCGGAGCAAACAGTGCTGATCGCAGAAATGCTTCATCTCACCACGCCACTGCACCTTCTCTTTGAGGGCTCCTTGAGACTTACAACAGTCACACCGTACAGCCTTAATGCAAAGAAGATTTTCACATTTTTAAACAGGCCTTGGGAAAAATTCATTGCTACATTTTAAAAGACTACATTTTTAAGAGTACTGAGGATTCAGTATCACTATACAGTTAAGTCTCGCTCACGAACAACAGTTAAGCTTCTGCAATTGTTTACTGAGGGTTAGCATCCAGAATAAATCTGCTTTGCTTTATTAATTTGTCACTATGTAAAAAAAAAAAAATTGCTCACTTCTAAAGAGTCATCAAAAAATAATTTTGTGCATAAATTTTAATTAATTTCATTGAAGCATTCTGCAAAACAAGAGCAGAAAGTGTTTGGCTCCTTACTCAATGACTCTATTGAACTGAGGACAAACACAAGCCATTTTTTCCATTTCCGAGGTCTGCCAGGCTGTTTCTTGTTTTAAAAAAGAGAATCAAAAGTTTTAAAAAGTCATCAAAAGAATCACTTCTCTAGGTATCAAATGAGCATAAATGTTTTTTATATTCCCATTATTTTAGTAGTTTTGCAGCAATTTTAGATTCCAATTCTTTAGTTCATCCAAGTTTCTCCATGGTTTATAAACAATTTCTCTCAAAAAAAGAAGATTCCCCCAAAATTTAGTTAGCAGGTAACTTGGAAACTCAAACATTTAAGTAATAAATTAAATTAAATTAATCTGCATGTTAATTTAATGAGGCATCACTAAGGCAGACAAGGTTTTTCTCCAGAACAGATTCTACTGCATTTTATCTGCCACGCTATAAATTACTATCTGAACAGTGGTAGCCTCAATTTCACATCTTCAAGTAAGCAAGTAATTGTCTGCACTACAGCTCGCCTCAATATTGTTTGCAATCTCCATCCTAAAGCAGACTTGACCAGATGCTCAGGGATCTAAAGTAAGTCAACTTAGTAATATAGCCAGGAGAGGAAAAGGAAGTTATAATATATGCAACATAAAACATTAATACATAAAATCATACACAACAGTGCAGTTATGCACAAGGCTCTGATGGCTTAAATAAACAAAACAAAACAAAACAAAGTCCAACTGTAGTTTCTGTGACTCCAAAAAAGTATTAACAGGCCAATTAGTTCAAATTTTAAAAATAACAAAACGTTTAATTTCTTCTCTGTATTTGAACAGTGTAGTACCATCCTCTGGCAGCATAAAAAATTAACCTCTCAACTGTAATTTTCATGTATTTAAAGATTATACATAGACAGGCTCGTTTCTAACAGTATAACCAGCTTTAAATTGGGAGAAATTAAAGCTGCAGCTTCAAGATCACCTCACACTAAGCATCAGGTGGCCCTGGAAGAGCAGGTATTTCTCTTCTCGGTGCAGGTAGCAGCAGCAGTGCTTATGCACCAGGCACACAAGGTCAGAAGCCTTAAAGCACTGCATTATCCCCATCCTCCCTCCATATTTGTTGTATTTGTCACTTGGACCTTCCACTGATGCTGATCCACAGTTCCTTTTGCAGATCACCTCAGTGGGGCAGAAGAGCATGTAGGTTTTATTCTTAGAAGGGAGTGGGAAGAAGATAAAATGTAGAGTGTTGCCAAAATGGTGTAGATTTAATCAGTTCAGAAAAGCTGTGAATTCACACCTTTAAGGCAGATGCAACTTCCAAAGCCACCAAAAGACTGAAATACCAGCAGGGGAAAAAAAAAAAGTATAATTCACTCTAAATTTAAATCTCAAACCCACCTAACACTGATTAAGAACAACAGCTGGCTCACGTACAGAAAAGCCCATCTATTCTGACCTGCTGCACGCTGCTTGACTATCAAAGCACCATTTTCTGCTCATTTTTCTCTCCTTCAAAAAAGAAAAAGGGGTCAAATCTTGTCAAATCCAGCAACTACCGCCTTCCTACAGCAGGGTCTGTTGTGATAGGACAGGGAGAAATGGTGTTTAATTGGAGGGTCAATTTAAGATTAGATATCAAAAAGGTCAACTTAGATTAGTTCAAAGACAGAAGTTTTTTAGAATAAGGGTGAAACACTGGAACATGTTGCCCAGAGAGGTTACAGATAGGTAAATTTTAAAGGTCAGGCTGGATGGGACTCCAAGCAATCTGATCTCATTGAAGAAGTCCCTGCTCACTGCAGAGGTGTTAGACTATGTAGCCGTTTAAAGGTTTCTTCCAACTCAACTATTCTGTAATTCTCTCATTCCTGCAATTGTTTTCTCCCTCTCCTGTTTTCCTTTTTCATTTAGACTTTTGAATAAGTATACTATTGTCTCTCCCAGGCTTCTACTAAATTATTTAGATTTAAAAAATTGGTTTACTTCCATATGGAAATACTACTCCTCAGGAAACCTGGGATTCTTTTATAGTGACGATTCTCTTCTCATCTCTACATTTACTAAACTTTAATTCTACTATTTCCATAATTCTGTTTACAGTCAATGTTATACACCGTTCCATGGATTGAAGTTTCCTGCTAACTGCTTGCTCACCCACTTCCCTGACCATCAAATTCATTGAAAGTGAAAATGAATTAAAGATTTGACGTTTTATGATTTTTCCTTTCTTTCTTCCTTCCCCTTGTCATTTGTTTTCACCTGAGATACTGGTGCTAAATGTTAACTGAACCTCCAAAATACCTGTCTCAAGTCTCTTTATCTCTGTGTTCCAAAAAGCCCATCTCTGCTTGTTGTGCTTGCTCTGCACAAGTCCTTTCCCACTCCTAACTGCTTTTTGGTACATTTCTTTTCCCATTACTTCAACATGTTCAAATGGGCATGGTAATTAGTATAAATCACTAATGTTTGCCCCATATTTGGGTTAAAGAAAAAAATTTCACATTTGGGGCTTTTGTTTACATTTTTAATCCCTCTTTCACCTGTTCCTAATGTTCTTCAATGGTTTGGACTGCTAATAACTTCCCCTAATCTTAGCTGTCTATTCCAGCTTCAATTGCAGCAAATAGAAAGCAAAAGCTGTTGCAGAGAGCAAGTGCTTATTAAAGATTGGCTGTTCTGAAAGAGTACTTACTGGAGGTTGAGATGTCTAACTAGAGAACGGCTGAATTCCGACAAGAGAAATTCCACAAGGCTGTCTTGCTGTCTTTACCATTTTGATTAATGCTGGCTCCACTTTCAAATTTTACCACTGCTGACAATCACTGCTGAGCTCACCAGCCACAATGACTTTTCTTTCAGTCAGACTGTAGTTCCCCACCTCCTACTTCCTCTTTGCTGCAGACACCTGACCCCCACTGAATACAGTCATCACTGCACATGCTGGGTCTAATCAATCCTTCACTGTAGCCTCGCATGACCTGTGTGCACTTCAGCTGCAGTACTGTCACCAGTGTTTCTCAGTGTATATTTAAAGAAACAGTTTTCTGTGCTGTTCTCAGAACTGTATACTCCTCTTTTTCAAAGTAATTTCAATGCTCTAATGTAACAACAAATGACTGAAATTGTCATCAAACATCACGCTACTTAAAGATGTTTTCCAGGCATTTTCTGGATTAACATTCAAACCATTGCATGTAAATTTACAGGAGAAGCTCAAAAACTTAGGGTGCTAACCCCAAGACATCCGAAATTTTGCCTATTGCCTCAGAGGTGCATGGAACCCAGAAAGTAGAAACTTCCTCAGAACTTGGCACCAACTGCAGCTGTTGTCCAACAGATGATCAGGACTAAAACTATTCTTTTACACCTCACTGCCTCATATTAGGTTTAAAGGACTCTTATCTAGGTAAGTCTAATGAACTTTTAATACTTCTAGAAAAATTGTTGTGCTTCTACTATTGCTAACTTCTTTCGGCTTTCCAAGGAGAGAATTTTAGCATTCAGGGAAGTGCTCCCACAATACTTGATTCTTCTAAAAGGTTACAACGTTTTCCAGATAATAGTACATGAGAAAGATGTGTCCATAAAAAAAAGTAGACAAAGAAGATGGAGACAAACACTTGTTTAATGAACACAATGATGGTGTTTAAAACATTACTGAGTTATTACTACTTATTTCTCTTCATGTATACATTCATTGAAACTCCAAAATAACACTGGACATTGCATAAATGAGACAAAGCTCATACATATATAACTATTCTTTTAAGAAGCTAACAGACAAAACAGCTAATGAAGTACAAATTTAGAGAACAGTCCTTATCTATTTTGTCCTCCCATGTTTTGATCATTGTCTATTTTGGCTACGTAAGAATATGAGCTAACAATGCACTTCCAAATCTAAGGTATCTGGAGCGACTTCCATAAAGTGGGAGAAGTTATCAGCAAGGATGTAAAGAAATAAAAGAGAATTTCAGCAAACAACACAATTTCCCAAAACCTATTATACGTCTTTCCCATGTAATAAATCTCAAGCTTTTTTAACCAAAACTCAATTGCATTAAGGCTTTAAGAAGCACTTGAAAAAAATTAAAAATAACAATTCTTCATTGGAATCCTAGTTACACTAGCAAGTGTAACATTCAAAAAGTAGAAGTATCTAACACTTCAACATCATCAAGTATCAAAAGTTACCAGCAAATCTGTTTAAACTGTCTTTTTATGACATTAGATCTAACTTTGTTGTCACACAGTACCAACAGCATTTATGCAGACTTCATGGGCCAGTTATTACCTTATCCCATGAATCAGGATAATCTGAAACCTGAGTTTTCAAGTGGTTCTCAAAGCTGAATCACAAGCTTCCACAGAAGCTTAGGTACATTAAAGTAATTTGGTATGCACACCTCCAGATATATTCTTTGCTGAATCACCAAAAGATTCCTAAAGCACACCAAAGATTTAAGTTCTCTACCAGAAGGCACTTTTTTCACAGTGATAAATTTAATCTCACACTCCAAGTTTTAAGGCATATAGATAGATTAAATATTACTGCATGAAGTTAAAATTTTAGTTAAGAACTTTGCAGTCAGGCTCTATCACCCTATTTTCATGTGAGACAAAAGAAACACATTGTTGCCTTCAGAAGTTTTCTTTCAGGAAGGTCTAACAAGGCCCTACATACATTACTCAAAAAAACGAATTCACAGTGTTTGGCTGTAACATTTCTGGACATTCCAAAATATCAGATATGTCTTCATATTCAGTTCTTTTATGGTAAGTAGATCATCTTGAATTACAGGACTTGTATCTAGCCCTCTAACATTTCAAGTTTTTTAATGCCTTCCAGGCTGTGTGCAGAGTTTTGGTACGGTGATGAATTTTGTACTGTCTTTTTTGCAATTGCATCCACAGTGTAGTTCTTGTTTAGAAAATATCAGTGTAGCTTTCCAGGACGTTCACACCAGAGATCAAATATTTTATCCACGGCACTAATCGCAGGTTAAACCCAGTCCAATTTCATCTTTTCCTTTCAAAAAATGTAAACAAAAAACCTCTTATTGTGAAGTCTTTGCTGGTGCTTCACAAGGCAGTTAAGCTTCCAGAGACTTAGAAATAGATGCCATCTGTTTGATTTAAACTGTTATTAGAAATCCATTTGGTCTTGCTTTTTCCTTTGGCATCCTTTCCACTGGGAAATACTGAACAATCAAAGCCTCTGCAGTTCAAACTGTGGGAGAAGGGAAAAGGCAAAAAAGGAGGCAAAAACAGGAACAAGAAAACCTCTGCTAATGTCAGTGAACTCAAGGTATCCAGCTGCTACTAACAGCGTTTTCAATGTTCTGAATACACATTAAAGAAGTTTTGACAAGAAAAATGTGGTATTAACTGAGAAAAAATTGGAATTGTAAAGTAACAAATATACATACTAATTTTTTTGTTTTCTGTAACTCAAGACTTCCTTGCCAAACGAATTAATAAAATCAGATTATAGAAATGCTGCTCTAAGATCTAAAAAAACTGAAATTATGAAATTAATACATTTGCTTATTCTATAGCAAATGCTTTGCTGAAGTAAGCCTATTTGCTGCACAGTCCTTGAGATATCCTCACATGTGCATTTTTGGTTTTTTTAATTGTGGAGCTCTCGTCAAAAATTCTGAGTTACTTGCCTTGTAGTACCAGTCCTGAAATTTTTTACAGCACTCTTCACTGCAGAAATCTCTCACTACACCATCAAGTTCCTTAGTTGCTCCCTTTTTGCACAGCTGTGAGCAGTAATTACAAGTAACACATCTCAGTCCTAACCGTCTTGCAAAGTCTTGTTTATATAGCAGCTTGCAGCCTGGAAACAGATTTTAAACATTAGGAACAAATTAACTTTTACAGAGATATATCACAGTTAAGAGTTAAATATTGAAAATTAAATGGATACAACAACAGCTAACAACTGGAGCTTCAGACAAATTCAGTTTGCACAGTAAGACTGTATTTCAACACATTTTTACCCAAAAATCTTCCCTACACAATTTTATGGTTTCCTGTGACACCTGCATCTTTTTCAAAACCCTATGCTGAATCTTTTTTTTCATCAAATCCCTGAATAAACATTCAGGAAAAAAATACATAGTTTTCTTTTAATATAGACCCACACAAAACTTGGAATTACATTGCTCAGTTACACATCCTCAAAATGCTAGATATCCAGACAACACTATCTACTAAAGAAATACCTAGCTTCATGGATCAACTTAATTTTATTACTATGCTTTTTATATAAATACAACAAACCACTTAAGATAACTCATTAACATTTAAGAACACTAATATGTACAAGATGACCTCAGGACTGAGGGACTTCTTTAAAAATGTAATGACAAAGCAAGCAATGGTCAGTAGTGAGAGTTATGCAATGATAAGAAATTAAACATTAAATTTATGAAGAGTTTATATGCAATTAATACTTTAATTTTTTTCCCCACATTGGGGTGGGGTGGAGATGCTGGTTATTTTGGTTTTGGTCGGTTGTTGTTTTGTGTTGGTTTGGTTTTTGGTGTTTTATTTTTTTGTTTGGTTTTTTTTTTCTGGGGGTGTGGGGGTGTTTTTTGTGTTTTTTTTTTCATTTACTACACAGTCACAATTTTAAGGTTGCAATAATGACAGCTATATTCTTCCATAATCTGATCCTCCCTCAAGGAAATTAGAAAGACATTCTACCATATTAAATGCATTAGAAGATGAATACTGTAGCTATTATATAGGCTATTTTCAGAATATATTGCACTTAAATGTCCTCAAATCCAACACCTATTCAGCTGATGCCTAAATCATGTACTGCATACCTCTGTAATTGTCCTAATTTTACAGGGGAGAACAGAATGAGAACATAAAGTAACTATATCAAACACTGGAGGGACAAGATAACATTTACACAGACCTTTAATCTAAGGTACTGCACCCGTTTTTGTGATCTACCAAATATCACAGCACCACCAAAGATGAGAACTCAAGTCATCCAAGTGCCCACTCTGCTAGGACATGCACATAATCTAACAGATACAGACTTCCATACTTCTGATAAGTTATGAACCTCGGTATGTAAGATACATGCTGTACCTTCTCTGCCATACAGAATATAAGATACTATAATGTATTCAGTCATTTCAATTATGTGACTTATGCTGCTGTCTATTAAGGCAGAATTAATGCATGTGAAACTGAGATCCTATTATTAAATCACTAAAAGCACAAGAATGCAAATGGAAGAAGCAGCAGACTGAATCTTCCAAAAGCAAAAGGTTATTGAGGGACTTTAACCTGTAATGCAACAAGCTTTGCTAACAAATTAAATTTGCTAGTAATGTCAAAATAAGACATTTATAGAATATTGTACAAATAAGACACTGTAGGTAATTTTATTTAAAGTGGTTTTGTTGGGGTGTTTTTTTGTTTGTTCTTTGGGTTTTCTCTTTTAAGTTCTCCAACACAGAATAAAGAAAATTCCTAGCACAGATGGAAAGTGCCATATCCAGCAACCATCCTTAGAGTGCAACTGATTTGGACTTTAAATACATTGCTTTGAAGGAAATAACAATCCTAAAGATAACAGTGTGTGCAAGCTCTTCATTAAAAGTACCAATTAAAAGCAAAATTTCTTGCCAATATTTTTTCCTGCTGGCTGTACCTCTCATTACTGCATGGAGCGTCATATACTTTCCACTTCTTTAAAAATCCAGAGATATCTTAGCACCACAATGTATCCTCCTCTTCAGTAGTCTCTTAGAAAAGCCACCCTTTCAAAACTACTACTACTAGACTAGTAGTACAACTCTACTACCAACCAGGCAACCTATATCCACCTGGCTAAATAGTTTACAAAAAGGAATGGGAAAAAATTGGCCTTTTTCTTGGCTGCTGTACTACAGGAAGTGAAGTTGATGATGCTGTTATTTTATTTTAAAAAGTTATCAGGCAAGAAATTTTCCATTCCACAGTCAAACATCTCCCACATCTCCGTGACTCATGGAAAATGATCAATTAACATTAAGGGGAAATAAAAAGTCCAAAATTCCAGCCCTTAAAACCTAAAGGCCTGGAAAACTTGGGGTTCTTTACAGACCACTAACAGCAGGGCTTCTTGCTGAAGGAGGCCTCTACAGAAGATAAAAAACCTGTTTTTATAAAACTTTGGATGTTGACAGTAGATTCTTACAATGCCGAAACTTGCTAAAGTAAAATCTTTACGAAGTCTTTCTTTTGCAACATCATGAGCAAAATACTACAGATTTGTCTGAACGTCGTTCATGTGATTGTAATAGGTAACTTAATCTATGAGGCCAAGTTTAGCTTCAAGATCTTGTGACTTCAAAGAAAGAGAAAGCAATATGCCTTTCTTAGGTCCTTGGCAGTCTGCAATCTAGTATATACATTTTTATTACAATGCTATGGTTTTGACTGAAAGAGTAAGACTGTATGGAAAAAAGTATTTTACTTTGGTAAAACAGATTCTAAACTCAAACAATTTGGTCTTCTCTTGCACAAGAGTAATCCTGAATCAACATAACAGTAACACCCATGCTGACCTTGTACATGTGGCCATGAAGTTGGCTTTGATTTATGGCACACTGTGAATGAGTAATACAAAAAGCACTGAATGTCTGACCTTTCTAAGATCAACAGTAAAATCCTTAGGGTTGTTCAGCCTAACTCCTCTGGGGACTTGGGGTTCATGAGTATAAACACTGCCTAAAACAGACAGCTGACAGTCCGATCATTTTGAACAAAGAGATCTGAGTAAAATCCTAACTTCCTCAAGATTTCTGCTACAACACCAGACCCACAAGTTAGTGTGATCAGATAAAAACTTCTACTGCTTTTAAGTGCCTCTGAGAGAAAACACCTCTTACTTTGAAAGAAATTATAAGCACAGGTTATCTGGCTTATTACTGTCTTTAAAAGTTCTAACACCATCCCATAACCTGGCTGTCCCAGAAAGACCAGTAAGGACCATTTTCAGAAGTATCTCCAAGTCAAAATCACAAGCAAACAAAAACCAAGTAGGTGAGTATCTGCTAACTTAACATATCCTTAATTACAGTATTAGAATTCTGGCTTCCAAGCAAAACCCAACACAAAACCTATCTCTTAAGAGCCCTGAATTTTGGTTCCCCACATAAATGGTAGAGAAAGAAATTATCTAAACACATAAAAGAGAAGATTGCTGACAAGACAACACCCAGACAAGTTCCTCAAAACCTTTACCTCAGGGAAGTTCCAGGTTAAGAGAGCTTCCTTATTCTTGGCAGATCCAGGAACTGCCAGGTTCAGCCCTGCAGAGTTGCCCACAGAAGAAAACCTGCTTCACCTGATTGCAGACTCAGTGCAAGTAAGCTACTACGAACATGATCTACCAGCAGCACCTACCTGAATGACAGAAGCTCAGTACATTTCTACATCAAGTAGCTGTGTAAAAAGGAATACTGAACCAGAAATAATTCTGAGTCCTCAACACCAGTACCTTTTTACCACAGGGACTAATATTTTATAAGACGTAGTTGTTCTATCCTAAAAGAATTGGTTCTTTACCTCTGAAATGCTGTCCTTAGTAAATGACCTTTGTCCTTCAAGTGACATGTAAAACTTGCTTTTCTCTCATCTTGTATTAACTTCAATTGTTACCTGTTCTAGAGAAGAGTAACAACAAGCCTTTAGCATAACAAGCTATGTCTTGGAAGCTTTCTCCGAGCTATGTTTCATACAGATTTTTCTGCTCCATCTCCCTCTGTACTAATTTGAATGCAAAATCTCTTCCATACCCACACTGCTATCACCTGCTGTCTCTGGATTCATAACAAACATTATTATTTCTATGAAAACAGATGCAATGTATTCAAATTCTGGGTCCTGCTTGGATTAATGTTGAAGTAGATCCTACCCTCTTCTGTGTGAAGAGAAGTTGTGTATACCCCTTCATTCCTCGTCTTCACTTTAAGAACCTTTTATCAGTATTCAATCCAACTTTCATACAACCTCAGTTTATCCTACTATTTCCTGCTATTAGGTACTATCTCCTTCCATTCTTCTCCCTCCTACTCCAATCCAGTTACTCATGTTTTGCTTATTCTTAAATCTTTTCAGGTTGATAATGTTAATAAGAAGCATCTTTATAAGCTTTCTTCTTGTGCTCATAATCTCAGCACATTAAACTGCATCACCCCATATCTACACCAGTCAATGCTGTCTTTGCTCAAAGAACTATCTCAAACCTCTTTAGAAAAAGATACAACAGTGGAATTAACAAGGAAGAATGAAAATCTAACAAGGACCACTGGTGTCAAACAATGCACAGGATTTCACCTGATATTCTTTATCATGTTATGAATTATCTCTCCACAAAGAAAAATAAAAATGTCAAGACTCAATACATGTGCAGAAATTTTAAATTATATTACTTGAATACTATCAGTATTCTCCCTCTACAAAGGGAACGATGAACAATCTCTTCCACTGCATAGTTATACCTTTCCATTTCTCAACTATAAGAACACTGTCAGAAACATCAAAATCCAGGTTAACAGGTTAAAACTGTCCAGTAATTCCAGAAGGGATGCATCCAAGAAGCACTAATTGGAAACTACATCTACACTGCGACTCTTCCACAAGTGGAATACCACAAGAACCAACTGTCCAGCTCTCCCATGTGCATTTGTCTAGGAGGTGAAGAACTTTGCTTTCTTTCAGCATAGCCTTCACTTGGGGCTTCTGTAGCAAGAGAGCCTGTTAAATACCTCCTAAGTGACTTGTCAGAATTGAATATGCTGTTCCTTTTACCTTAACTCATTTCTATAACCAGACTACTTAATCAGATGACATGGCTTGAACAGTCCTGGCCACAACCAGGGCCTCTGTGCCATCAGACTTCCCTAAAGAAAACTGCCATGGCTCAAAGAGATACCAGGAATGTCCCATTCTAACTTCTCTCCATAGAAGCCTAAGGATGTCAGAGTGTCTCAGAATAGGCCAGACACCTCTAAATACCTCCAACATTCACTTCCCTTTTTTACTAACCCAGGTTGTAGGAAAGGAATATCCTCCTGCAGTAACAACATGACTCTTGCAATTGTGAACGAGTATTCTTACAGATCATACATTTTGCAGTATTTAAGACATGTTCTGCTTTTTAATTGTCCCCTTTTGCCAGGATATCCCAACTCAGCACCAAATACAGCTTTAAATGAAAGCCACAAGGAAACTGACATTTCAGGTAAGAATTTATCTCAGACGGGACACTGCCAGAACTAGTCATGAACAAAACCAAACTAGGCACCATAGCACGATCAAATTATTTCAACATGGCAGGCCTCCATCAAGAGTTGTAGAAAGTGACATAACAGCTCTGTGAAGCACAAATCCTAGAGTATGTAAAAGAGTGATTTCATACTGTCTTTAAAAAATTCTGTACACTAGCCCAAATTCTGTACATTTTATTTTCAAAAGCAGTATCGGTGACTCTAAAAAAGATAGTTGCCAATGTAAACTATTTAAAAAGCTGTATTTGAACAGTCTCTGTAGCTCTCACTTTAAAAATAATGAGACCAAACATCAGGAACAAAGCGATTCATGCAGGGTTGATGGCACCTCCCTGTGTCTAGGGGGACACAGCAGCTCAGCACAGCAGGGATAGTGCACCAACTCTTCCTTGGCCCATCCACCACAGAAGCCCAGCAACTATAACTAAGTCTTAGCAATGCTTCATATCATACATCACATTTTACTTCTTTTTTTTTTTTGCTGTTTCTAATCACAGCAGGAATTGCTATACATATCAGGTAGTATCCTAACTGATTGTGAAACACTGGAATGTAAGCACCTCTACAAAACTTAACATACCTGTGTTTAGGCTATCTCTGTATCTGTAATATTTTCATATAAATCTAAAAATTAATCAGCTAATCATTTAATAGTATACTTTTACAAACAGTCCACTGTGCAGTACTGGTTGGGAAAATCCCACTCTAAAATCTACAATGCTTTAACTGAACCTTTCCTAGAAGAAGGTAAAATTACTTAATTTCCTAAATTTATTTTTCCACTTGTCGACCCTGCAGTATTTTAAGATATTATCTCTACTTAGATGAAACATCAGAGATGTTTTCAGAGAAAACTCAATGTCTGCATTGAGTTTCATTTGTAGAAACCTTAATTCCCAGAAATCTACTAGAATGCTACCAGGGTGATGGTACAGTTGCTAGTTTGACAGCTGTCCTCTACCTGCATTATCCGTTTAAAAAGAATTCCCAAGCATCAGATAACTGAACTAATCCAACATCTTAATGACCTTCTCCCTCCTAGAAGAAGACAACTAGATATGAATCAGTGCTATTAAAATTTGCATTATAAAATGATTAAGCCTGTGTTGTTTAAGTCATAGCACTTAGTTCTACTGGAAAGATGAATTAAGTAAGTCTACAAATAAAATAAAATTATGGTGATACTCATCATAAAATACTTTAATTGCTGGATTGCCAAAGACTGATTTGCTCTCCCAGACTCTCAGAAGGAATATGTATTTCAAAAACAACAACAACAAGAAAAAAACTCACTCCCAAAATATCCCAAACCCAGTAATTTGAAGATTTCCTCAGGATTAAAAACTTGTACAGCCTATCCTCAGCTGTCACTCATGCAACTATACATACATAAAAATACACAAGCTACTTCTTACTTTAGCATATATATTATTATGCTAAAGTAAGAAGTAGCTTGTTTATGCTTATTTAATTTAGACACAGACATTTTGGAATGCAGCATTCTAGTGGCAAAACACCAGGACAGCCTCAGCACCAGGGGAACAGATTAAACTCTTTCATCTACTCCATTCAGGTTGTTCATAGCATCCAATTTTTGGACAAAACCAGAAAAAGCATCCTATACTCCATGAAAGAATTAATAACCATCTTCAGCACAAAATCTAGGTCAGTTCTAATCACACCTTATAATAATGGAGGCTTCCTGCACATGTTTTGAAGTGTCTCAAGAGAAACATATAAAGAAACAGCTGGAGTGAAACCACACAGAAATACTGATCCAAGAGACTTTAATGTGGGTGTCAGGGTTTGTGTGTAAATATATATGTATATGCATGTGTGAAAAAACCCCTCAGGTATGAAGAATGGGAGCAATGACGACATCTTCAGTACTCCAGCTGGGCAGCTGTAAGCAGTCAAGAGAAATTTGCGGTTGATCTTATATATGTTTTCCCATCAGTTTGCACAAAAATGAACAAGTACACTTCCAGAAATTTCAACATGTGTTTAATTTCTGATTTTATCTAGGAGCCTTTTATAAACACTCCCCTGAAAATTCCTCACATTTCCCCTTGAGGGTTCAATTTCTTCCAAAAATGCCAGCAACTTTTGTGACTGAGTACCTCTGGCTACTCTTTCCCAAACTGTAATACATTGTCTGCTGATGAAGAATAACTGTATGCTCAAAAAAATAATCTGTGTTGGTGAGGTTACTTGAACAATCTGCAATATCAAAACCAGGATGACCTCCACAATCAGAAAATACTTGGTACTTGTACTGGTTTTGTTATTTCACAAAAAGTTTGACATATATCTGATAAAATGCTTTGAAATTAAAGACAAACCAGTGAAGTCTAGGTGCCTGGGAAAAGGGCAAGAAAAATCTATCACATCTGATGATGGAACTCCTATTTGTTGACCTCCAAGAGTCCAACACAAGTCCTGGCCCTGTCCTTCCTACATCAGATCTAAGCACCATTCATTCTTGGATTGCACTATTTCTGCAGCCATTAATGGCAATTGATGGTTTTCCTTCAAAATAAATGGTCTAGGGTTCCTTCAGAATTTCTGTCCAGGTCACTGGTTTATTTGTGAGAGGAACACATACAGACCTTTGTCACATGCATCACAAAGTAGACCTCAGCTACAGCTGGCAGATATACACTGATATTTATTCAAGTTATGATCTACTTAATGGTGCTTTTGACTAGCCTCTCTCTACTACTCAGTGGTTCAGATCATCACAGTAAGTTGATAAACTTTGTCTTTATGGTAACATTGTGCATGCTCACCCTCATAAATGTAGTATTTATTCTTGTGCTGGCAGCCCAGCACCTGCAAACTCAAGGCCCACACCAAGACATCTAGCAACAGATTCCCCCCACTTAGTAGCTAAACAGGAGAGACTGTTTTTATTTATTTTCTTCCTCAAAATTTCCAATTGGAAACATAAGTCATCGCTTATTTCAAGCCTCCTCATAGAGAAGTAGTAATAGCATAGGTGCCATTATGAACCCTATTCATTTCATTGTGACAGCCATCCAACTTTAAAATGAGGGAGTCATAAATATTCACAGTAATAGAAGCATATATTTTAATCTCCAGAAAAGTATCTTGCTCTTGTTTGAATGTGTTCTGTGGAATTGTTTCCTTCACAGAAACAATTCCTAGCTAGGGGCTGCTGAGCAATGCACTGAACACTGTAAGGCTGGGCCTTCATGTCTCTGTTTTTACTCTCCAGCTATCACTTTCCACTCCAGAATACCACACTCCATTCTTCAGAAACAAATGACTGCAGAGTCCCGAAGCTGTATGGGAATGGCATGGAGGGAAGACTGCCTTCAGCACTGCATTCCAACCCTCTCCAACTTAATAGGATCCTCCTATAACTCCCATATCTACTATTTAAGCTGCCTGAAAACAGGTATCTTCCACAGGTCTTATCAAATGACATTGGAAGTGTTGCTGTTATAAGAAAAAAATATTCACCGCATTTCGAATAATAGCCATTCAAACTTGTAGTTAAATATCTAAGATCATGATTAAATACCAGTATCAAAGGAGAGCTCACCAGAAGTGGAAAGGACAGGTCCTTGTTAAAAAACCTATTTTACTATTTCTATTAAAACCATGCTTTAATGCAACTTAAAAGAATTCTAGGGCCATGGAGTTCCCTTTTAGTTTGTTTTCTGATTGAAAATTCAAGTAATTAGTCAAGTAAATTATAATGACAGTACTCAACACACAGCAACAGGCATCATTCAAGTTATTGCTTAAGTAACCTTTCTAAGCCAACATAAAACTTCTACTGTTGAACTTATTTAGAAATTGCTAATCAAAGAAAAAGCTTGGTGTTCATCAGCGCAGTTAATGTTGCACATGCACTACTGCATACATTTTTTTAAAAAGAATGTATAGTTCTTTTGTACGTATGTATGTATGCAATGTGCATAAATATGTAGGTATTTATACACACACACACTTAAGAGTGTTACCCTTAACCTGGACTAAGTGGTGAAAAGCTCTAAAGGCAGCTCAGATAAATGAAAAAGTACCTGCATTAACAATAACAGGTACAATAATTTCAATAACAGTAATGAAGAGACTTCTGGTTTAGCCTCAAGTACAACAGAATGAGTTGTTACCTTGAATTTTAACATATAAACAAAGTATGTAAATCACAGTAGAATAACAACCAACACCTCAGGAAAACAACAAATACGTACATACCTTCACTGCAAAAGGGTCTCTTGATACCAGAGAAATTCACTGTTTCATGGAGCGTTTTCTCTTCCTGACAGTATTCACAGTATGTAACTATGCAGTGCAGTTTCTTATAATCATCAGAACATGCTCTGCTGCAGAACTGATATACTTTGTTCTAAATGCAAAGTTGCGAAACATCATGAATAAGGTTAATGGATTAAATCTTAAGGTCTAAATAGTGCAACTTGAAATAATAGCTGCCATTAAGACAACTTGCAAAGTAAAGTGTGAACACATTAATTAGAGTATGACTTCTAATGCTAAAAATTTACAAATCCCAATTAAGCTGACAGGGTTATAAATACTCATCATTTCACATGAAAACACTGGACAGAAAATATGTCACTCAATCTCAGCATATCCTCTTTAGATACTTCTCTTAGTTCATAAACAAGTACAATAATGGTCTATCATATCTACAATAACTGACGATGAAAGCAGATTGCAGACTTACAGCTGATCTGAGAAAATATATTTTTTTAAATTCCACAAATACTATTTATGAACAAAGACTTCTGCTTTGATCCATACTGAAATTAAATTATATTCTACAGAACCAGGTAAATTTTAACCAAGCTTTTAAAAAGAAACTTCAATACTTTATAAAATAGCTAGCAAAACCGTATTAAGATTCTAAGTTGAAACTCTTAAGTACATCATTCTAAGAACACCCTTACCTCCCATTCCAGTACTTCTGGTTTTGAACAGAAAGAACTTTTGCAATAATTACATTTCAACTGAATATCACTGGGAGAGACGAACTGACCATTTGTTGAAGACTGAACACTGAGAGTCTGAAAAACATAAATATATATACATACATCACTAAAAAAAAACACAGTTACTTTTAAAATGTGGGGTTTTTTTCAATTAAGCTTACAGTATTTGAGAATTCAGGAGTTTATTTATAAACTTAACAACATTTCTGGTAAAAGCACAGCAGGTTGGTTCATTTTTCCCTTGTCATCTCAGGTTTTTCCATTTTGAATCTTTACACTTACTTCTACTATAATTACTTTAAGACTTTTTTTTTTTACCTTACCTTTCTTACGCCTTTTATTTAAGGGTTAACACATTTTTTGTAAAAATAAAAAAAAATATCCCCAAATAGAATGCTTTTGTTAATCACAAAACATATTTTCAGATAAATACATTTCACAGCTTGTATTATTTTGGTGACAGAGAGATAAAGACCAACAAACAAATGTTTTCAAATCCAAACCTCACCAAGGCCGATTGTCAACATCTTATGTAAGCATACCACTTGAAAATACAACTACTGAAGTAAAAGGCTTTCAGTTAGAAATGTCACATCTACTCAGATTAAGACAAAACTACCTGACAATCCTAAATAGCCTCAATCCCATGGCAGGAAGATGCAGTTATTGACACAATCAGACCCTAAACATTCCAGGGGTTTCAAACTGAGAAAAATACTATAGATTACATGTATAGGTATGAGAATTTAATTCTGTAACTGAGAAATTTCTTTAGCGCATTTCTGCGGCAATCAGTAGATAAAAACTCAATTATACAGTACCTATATCTTTCAGTGTCTTATATGTGCCAACAGAATTGAGCATCTTTGCAAATTCCCTGATTAAGCAAGAACTATTGGTGTATTATAGATGTGATGTTCAAGACAAAAATCTGAACCAGCAGTAATCAGACACTTGAAGAATCCAGGACAAATTTCTCACATCTGTCTTTTCAATACTTTCCCACACTATTTGCAACAAAACAAATATATTTAAAGACAAATTCTCTTCAGGCAGATTTGTTACTACCTCTCCACTGTATAACAGTGAATATTCAAAACATTTCTGTTATAGGATACTTTTCTTCAGACTCTCATGTTAGTAAGGGTTCACCCAAAACAAAAAATAAATTTAAAACTATGTTGAGACTTATTGCTGATATAAACCCTGATCTGTGTGGTCTGGTACTGCTGAGTTCTAGCTGGCAGTGCAAACAGTATCATTTCATGCATATACATTAATTCTGTATCAAGCGTTTGCCGACATTAAGTAGTCATGCATATTTCCCAATCACAGGTAGGACTTGAGAACCAAATGCCAGGCAGCAGAAAGATGACACCTTTACCTCAATGGCCCATCAGCCTGTAGCAACTTTATATATATAACTTCTACAACTTTTTTTCTGATGCCTACAGACAATATTATCATATTTCTCCCATTATATCCAGCAAATGTCCCTGTGACTGAGCAGGGTTTGCTTCACTTCGGCTGCTCAAAATAGCTAAAGACTTGCACAAACTTGAGAGCAACAAAGGCATTTCTAACTGCAAGGTCCAACCTGTGCACTTGTGCATTTGCAGGTGTCCTCACAGAGCAAACACCATGCTCGACACATGCTGGTGTGTGCTTTATGGAAGCCCTAGAAGTTCTCACTGAAAATGAAAGTAACTCAAGAATACCCAGCACCTCCAGTTCAGGAATGAAGGAGATGTAAAGAACTAGCAGATGTGGCAATTTGTACAGAAACATTGAATACAGAGGAAGGAATGAAGACAAAATAGTGTATTACTTGAAATAGTAGTCATCAAATGAAAAGCAATCCTTATCTTTCATATCTGTAGTTACATTTAAATATGGAACCCTAAATATGGGACCCTATTGTGATGGCTGTAAGTCAAATGTAAAACATAGTTTTTTGTTGTTTTCTGAGGTATGCCATGGTTACCTTCTTTTATTTCTTTCCATTACTGTTTACTGGGGTATAAATTCAGACTCACAAGGTCTAGGAGGCTGGTAATTGCAAAATAACAAAAAGCTAGAGAAGTGAGAACAACAAAGATTAAGGCTATTTAAAATTAGAATTTGTTTTAAAGGAAATTTACATATACCTATAGATTAAATAAATCTAAGCTATTAAGCATTATTACTTCTAAAAAACCCAAAAGCAAAGTTTTTTTATCATATGCTCCTCTAGTTAATTAAATATTTTTCCAGAAAAATCTGTAAAGAACTGAATTCATATTACTCAAAGGTCTAAACCAAGCCTACGATGGATTTTAAATCAAGTTAACCATAACATTATTTTGAATGCCTCTTTAAAGTTCCAGTTATTCTGCTTACAATTAAGGGCTGCTTATGCATAATATTTTGAGCCAAGATGATATGCATTTAGTATTTTCACCATCTTGCTTTGCTTCTAACTTACAAGGTACTTAAAGTACCTTTAGGAATTATTTGGGAACATAATTACACACAAAGAATAATAAAAGAAAGAAAGATCATAAATTCGTTAAAATCTTTCACCAGTCACCCTGAACACAAAGTTTTATCTATGCTGTGTTGTATCAAAGGTATCATTGAAGTCATGTACCTATGCTTGCTCTTTAGAGAGCCTGCCCTGAATAACAAGAGCATGGGAAGTGGAAGCAAAGCAAAAAAACCCACTGTAAAGCCCTTTTCGGCCTTCAATGCAACCAGCTCAAACTGCTTCAACTTGCCAGTTTAGTAATTAATACTAGGCAGGCACAGCCCAGGATCTTCTGAGAAGACCACCCCAGCAGCACAGCGTCTGGCCAGCCCTGCCAAAGCAGCATACGTGACAGAGAGTTATCCTTGCTCACAGCAATATGAAATCAAATTGTGGAAACATTTCTCTACATAACTGTACATGTGGAAGAGCCAGTAGGCAGCTAGACTGAGGTTAGGTGTTTTTTCCAGCTGAGAAAAAAACCCCAAACCTTGGAGAGAATCAAGCTGTTTTTAATGTGCATAAGAGAAGTGCTTATAAGCAATCTTCTATATGTTGTCATTCACTAGGACTGGTCCACAAGCAAAATCAAGGGAAACTAAATGAAATAGGGAACTAAACAAACTTTTCCCTTGCAATCATGCACACACAGACCTTCCACCCTGGGCATAGAAGGCATCTTTTTATTATTATCAAATTTAGAGGAGTATTTGTCTGTGTGCAGACAAATGTGTACAAGAGCGATGCAGCATATACAGCCAAGAACACTTCCAGGCACCGTCACAGTGGTGAAAGAAAACAGCATTAGTGAATAACCAGAGAGAGTATCCTGCTAAAAACCATTGTACTTGTAATTCTTGCCCATACTGGTCCTACAATTCTCCAGATACATCCATAAATTGGAAGCAAATCCCAAACCAATTAAAGCTTGAGTACAAATTTTGCACAGACTTGTGTTCTGCCAGATAGCTTCTACTGTCAGACACACAGCTGCTAACTCTGGGAAGACACTTGTGTTACTGCCTCCATGTTCACAATAAATAATCAGTAGTTTATTTTTCCCTTAACAGCAAGATCTTCAACTGACCCAGTAGAAGTACCAGTATCAATACTGATTTAAAACAAAACACCTTGGGAAGAGTTCTGTCTTTAACTCTGCCTTAACATCCTCCAAGACAGAGTGTGGAAGACAAGATTCAGTTTTGCTGTTCTACCACCAACTACCAAACAAAAACACATAAATCAGGCTGTTATCTCTCTTTTACTCTCTTTCTTACATTATCAAACGCTCTTACAGTCTGCTCAAAGAAGAATGTAGATATGGACATAAACCGTACAACATGCAGCTCAGCTGAGTCTTTCCAAAATTTCAATCCATTAAAAGAACAACTAGCTAGAAACAAAACGTTATTTGTAAGATACAATTATAATCAATCCTGAAGTTCTGTAAAATAAACTTACCCATTTGTAAACAGAAAGGACTAATACACTTGCAGAAGGGAAGAAACACAGGCCTGAGATAGCAGTTATTATGTTTTGTGAAGGATAAGCCTTAAAGAAAAAAGTCTAGGAAGATCAAGCAAAGTGGGAGAAGGGGATGAATATGAATCCAGAAAACTAAAAGAGTTATGGCCATTAACACTGAAAAATATGGAGCACCATAGTAAATCAGCCATTTTTTCAATTTAGGTTCAACACCTTAGATGTCACTTAGTTTTGCCTCAAGAAGCCTCAAGAGAACACCAACAGTTCAGTGCTCACATTGTGGTATACCATCCTTTCCACCTAAATACTAAATAGAACAGAACAAAGAAGCTGTTCTCATACATTCAACTCTAGCCTTATGGTGAATATGTTTTATTCTTCTACACAGTGACTATACAAAAGCTATCAAAAGTTAAAATCCAACACTGCTGGTTGAGCAAACTAACTGTAAGCAAGTGACAACTGGTAGGTTGTCACATTCTTGGTCTTTACTGAGAACTCACAGAATGCAAGGCTGCTTCAGTTAAACTCCACTACAGCTCTGACAGGAGATCTATGTGCAGCACTGAGACTGCAATAGAAGCATGAGCACAAGACCACAAACCCACAGCCAGAATTAAATGATCTGGCAGTTCTATTCAATAATGCTTCTTAATGTTGACTTATGTGCAAATCCAAGACGGCCCAGGTTGAATTCATCGTTCTCTGGCTGTATTTATTCCGAGAGCTCTTGGGGATGCAAATGATTGTAAAATCACGTACAATAAAATAGATGTTAAATGAGTCTGCAATAAGTATTACAGTCTGTCTTTATATACTAACAATAAGCAGGTATTATGTTAATCAGTTCCACTGACAGAGACCTACCAAATTGGTTATGATGGAAACACAGAACATGGCTACATGATAGAGGTCCTTCCCCAGGGTATATTAAAGAAGCAATCAAAAGACCATCTTGCTGTCCAGTTGACAGAAAACAGCTAAGTTCAATGACAAATGGGAAAACCCTGTGTAGGTATAACTCTTCAACTACACATGAGGAAGAAATTATCAATTATCCTGCATAAATCTGGGGAAAATGCTT